CTTTGCAGGTATTTCTCTGTTTCTCCATTAAGTAAAGTCTTTTCCAGAGTCCCTTCTTTTATTATTTTTTATTATTTTTATTTTTTAGTTTATTAGTTTATTTAACAGGTACAGTGTACAAAATACACTAATCTTAAAAAGAAGAGATGTCTTGCACCAGAGTTTGCTACTGCTAATTTCCATTGTCCCCTGGAAGATTCACACATTTAAAAACACTTTAGAGAACAAACTACATGTCCTAAAATACTAAGAAATACTGTAAATATAAAATATAATCACAGTCAGTGATAGACTTCTTTACAGATTAGCTGGACTCAAACTGACAAAGTTCATTATCATGAATATATTAATAAACTAAAAAAAAAAAAACCAACAATTTAAAACTGTTAATGTCCTTCAATTTATTTAATGAAACATTTGCAGGAAATGTTTTATTTATCTGTAGCCATTGTCTCATTGAACCTTCAAACATTTGGTAAAGTGACCATTTATTGTTTTTCTTGGAACAGTAATAGAAAGTCTGGATTTTTGCTCACAATAGCTTTTTTCGAGGTTTCTGTTTGTTCTATTGAGGCGCTATTTACACTTAAATGATTAATTAATTAATTAATGGATTAATTAATGAAGGCTGTTTTAAAGTCACTGCTATTAATCAAACTCTGTCTCTTTGTCTCAGGAGTTCACGTCTATCAGCAGATGTACGGCTGTGAGTGGGATGATGAGACTGGAGAGGTTAAAGGTTATGATCAGATTGGTTATGATGGAGAAGATTTGATTGTTCTGGACCTGGAGACACTGACATGGATCGCTCCAGTACAACAGGCTGTCATCAGCAAACACAAGTGGGATAATGATAGATATGTTGCAGAGTATGAGCAGTTCTATTTAACTCAGGCTTGTTCTGAGTGGCTGAAGAAGTATGTGAGCTATGGGAGGAGATCTCTGATGAGAACAGGTATTACTAAACATCATGTAGTTTAAAATAAACAGCTATATTTCTGTGTTCTGTTTAAACATTTTTAAGTCTGGTGTTTGTTATCAGTTTTTTTTTGCTCAGTCTCAGTTTTTCACCTATATTAAAAGTATTTTGTTCAGCAATCAAATTATCAGTCTTTGTCGTTTTTGTTTATAAGTTAGTTATTAACAGAATGTTTATCCTATCAATCCTCCAGATCTTCCATCAGTCTCCATCCTCCAGAAGTCTTCCTCCTCTCCAATCAGCTGCTTTGCTACAGGTTTCTACCCCAACAGAGCAGAAATGTTCTGGAGGAAAGATGGAGCAGAGATCCATGATGGTGTGGAGAAAGGAGAGATCCTCCCTAACAATGATGGAACCTTCCAGATGAGCGTTGACCTGAAACTTCCATCATCTGAGGACTGGACAAGATATGAATGTGTGTTTCAGCTCTCTGGTGATAACAGAGACGTCATCACTCTGGAAAAATCAAACATTAGGACTAATGAAGGTAAGACTTTAGTATTATTAATGGGATTTAAAAACAATATGTTGATAAATTGTGTTTTATTTTGTATACATTTGTTGTAGAAACTCAAGTTTGTATTTTTTACTTTGCTTCATGGATTTTTGACGGATTTCATATTCGGAAAACAGAAGAGCAGACAGTGACTTCCAAGTTTTCTCCTTTACATCTGTCTTTGGGGTTAAACTACAGTTGAAAGACAAGTTTTCACATTGTCTTAAAGATTCATGAACAGTCGTCTAAATTGAAAGCCTTTTAGTCACAAAAACAATTATTTTCCACCCTATGTTCACTCATATCTTTAATTAGTTCACTCGATTATTCTTTTTCCATTAGTTTTATCTTCAGTTTTTTCCATATATTGCAGTTGTGGATATATTTTTATATATTGATATATAATAATTCACACTTTATCAAACTAACAGGCCTGTAATGCAGAGCAGCAGGACGAGGAAACAGATCAGGTCCTGATAAAAAGGCGATGGACATTTATTGATATAGCCTACCATGAAAAGATTAATGGCTGAAACAGGTTATCTCTTTGTTTGTTTATTTGAGGCAAACATATGAACCTTTAGATGGATCTCTACCATCTCCTCAGCAGCTACAGGCCAACATCTCCCCCATGATGGGATATCAACCTAAATCAGATTAAATGGACTTGCTGAACAGAAGTGAAAGATAAATTCTTCTAACAAGACTGGACTATTTACAGTGGAAAAATGATGGAGCTCTTACAGTGCAGAATATGTCGGTAACCCTTTAATGCTGACATTAAATTAGTTTATTAAACTTCAAAGTAAAATGAATCCTGACTTCTTTTTAGCTGCAAAATTGGTTTCTTTGCTGGCTGCAGACAAAATGATGGTAAAATGTTTTTGATGTTTTGAAAAAAAGGAAAAACCCTCTAGAGCAGCATGAGGTCTGGCAGCAAAAACATTTATTCAACCTAAAAAAAATCAGCAGACCTGAAAAGAAGCTATGATTCATGTTTAGGCTAAAGTAGGACAGAAAAAGCTCAGTTTAAAAGCCTGCCAGCTCATCGATCAGAAATATTTCATTTAGCTAAGAAGGGCTGCCTATACACAGAGGGGAGAGGGGCTGATGTCTCCTCAAATCAAATCCGCCCCCCTCCCTCCCCTGCCAGTCTGAGCCCCCATTCTAACATCCAATCACCATGAAGGTTACTAATGAGCCCAGAAGTAACCTGGCTGACTATGATGAGACAGATTAGAGTATCAGAGCTGAAGGGGTTAAACTATGATGAAGCTGTGATGTTCTGTGAAATTCATCATAGTGACTCATGTTTTCAGATACTTTAGAAATAATAAAAACTAAACAGAAAAGTATAAATTATTTTTGTTAACAGGAGAATACTTTTCATTCTCCTCATAGTATTAATCAGTCTGTGGAAATGTGTCTAAATCACAAAAGCCTTTAGTTTTGGATCAGCCTCCCTCCGCCTCATTTTAACCTGTGAGGCAGAAAACAGAACAGCTGCTCAGACGGGTAGATCCTTTTGAATCTCTGTGCAAAATTTATAAATTTGAAAAACACCAAAGGAAGAAAAATGCTTGCTGAAATGTTTCATGTTTTATATCAGATGAAACTAAAGAAACCTACATCTCAAACTCTGTAGGTTGTCCTTGCAGCTGCTTCAAATGTTTTCTTCCCCAGGAATTTTGTGATATTTTACAAAGTTTAATCAGTTTAAATGATTTAGTTTCAGGAAACTCCATGGGGATCATTATCGGGGCTATTGCTGTAGTTCTGGTTCTGGTTTTCATCATTGCTGGAGTCATCCTCTGGTGGAAGAAGAGAGATAACGGTGAGAATCCAAAGATATATTCTATGAATCATAAAACTGGCTTATATACTATTTGTTTATATTTCAGCTATTTTTATCGGTTATTTTTATCGGTTGGTGCTTCTGATCAAACATTACATTTTAAGATTTAATGCTTTAATTGATTTAAATGCAAAGATTTTTTTTATTTTACTTTTATAAAAACTATAAATAAATTATGTGCTGTTTTTTTCAGGATATAAGTTAGCAAATAGTGAGTATTACAAATATTTTCATCTTGCTTTGTCTCATAATATTAAGTTGTTCTAGCAACAAATTTTAGGCCAAATAGAAAAAATGTATATTTTATTTTATTTTTCAGCTTCTGACACGTCTTCCGACTCTTCAGATAAATCAAATCCCAAGAAAGTAAGATATTTAAAATATTCTTATAGTTTAATCCCTTAAGGGTCATTCTTTGATTCAATTTTCCACTGGATTTCAGAAGTTTATTTAAAAAAGCCTCATTAATAAACAACAATCTATCTATTTTTCAACTTTCGCCCTTAGTTCTGGCAGCCATCATTGCTGGAGTTGTTTGTTGGAATAAAAGATAATGGTGAGAAACCAAATATATATTCTATGTATCATAAAACCTGCTAACATACTATTTGTTTATATTTCGGTTTTTTTTATCGGTTGGTGCTTCTGATCAAACATTACATTTTAAGATTTAATGGTTTAATTGATTTAAATGCAAAGATTTTTTTATTTTACTTTTATAAAAACTATAAATAAATTGTATGCTTTTTTTTCAGGATATAAGTTAGCAAATAGTGAGTATTACAAATATTTTCATCTTGCTTTGTCTCATAATATTAAGTTGTTCATGCAACAAATTTAAAACCAAATAGAACAAATTTACATTTTATTTTATTTTTTAGCTTCTGAAACGTCATCCGCCTCTTCAGATGAATCAAATACCAAGAAAGTAAGATATTTAAAATATTCTTATAGTTTAATCCCTTAAGGGTCATTCTTTGATTCAATTTTCCACTGGATTTCAGAAGATTATTTGAAAAACCTCCTTAATATGCAACAATCTTTCCATTTATCATTTTTTTAACAGATGAACAGCGAAGGAGAACATTTGAAGGTGAAGACTATCAGCTGAATTCACAATGAAAAAACAGGCTGAGAAAAAGTCTGTAAATCACAACATTAAAAAAACAAACAAAAAACTAAGAATCAATCTTTTAGTGATTTTTCTAATAGCAGTTTATTCATGTTGGTGTTTTCATTGGTTTCTTTGATTCAATTTTCCACTGGAAAAATCTATCTATTTATCAACTTTCGCCCCTAGTTCTGGCAGCCATCATTGCTGGAGTTGTTTGATGGGAGAAAAGATAATGGTGAGAAACCAAAGATATATTCTATGTATCATAAAATCTGCTAACATACTATTGTTTTATATTTCAGCTATTTTTATTGGTTGGTGTTTCTAAGTAAACATGACATTTTAAGATTTAATGCTTTAATTGATTTAAATGCAAAGATTTTATTGTTTCCTTTTATAAATAAATGTTATGCTGTTTGTTTCAGGATTTAAGCCAGCAAATAGTGAGTATTACAAATATGTACATTTATCTTGCTTTGTCTCATAATGTTAAATTGCTGATGTAATTATTTTAAAGTCAAATAGAACCAAATTTACATTTTATTATCTTTTTTAGTTTCTGACACGTCACCTGCGTCTTCAGATGGATCAGATCCCAAGAAAGTAAGATAATTATGATAAAATGTTCTTAAAGTATAATCCCTTTAAGGTCAATCTAAGCAACAATCTGTCCATTTACAATTTTTTAACAGATGAACAGCGAAGGAGAAAATTTGAAGGTGAAGACGATCAGCTGAATTCACAATGAAAAAAAAGGCTGAGAACAAGTCTGTAAATCACAACATGAAAAAAACCCAAAGAATTACTCTTTTGATCGAAACTTTTCTTCTGAGACTTTTCTGTTTTGCAATCATGCTTTAGTGCTTTAACTTGGGATTTAGTTATATGGGTTAATTAAACACAACAGATTTATAAAGCCAGAGTCGGATTCATATTTGTCAATAATGTCAGACTTCTATCAAATATTACATTCATTATTCACTGATTCAGTTCAGTAAAATTTTAATTAATGATTTTTTTATTTATTGATCTTAGTCAATAACTAACTTACACTTATAATTTTCTCCAAGGTCAGTTTTCATAAAGAAAGAGATCATTATACCAGTTTCCATGGTTGTTAGTCACATTTTGTATTGATAATTATTTTTGCACATTTGTTTTACATATATATTTTTTTTTCAATAAAACTCCTCTATTTGGGGACAAGGAAATACAAATTGGCAAATTTTTTAATGGAAACATATGCTTCAGCTGAATAGGTTCTAATTTATTGCAGATAAAATCAATATAATTATTTATGAAATCTCAGGTTTCTCCTGGTTTTTAAAAGATTTTCCATGGTGCTTAAAACTTTATTTACAGGCAGAGAAAGAGCTGTTTATTTGTTCTGTGTTTATAAAATGTATTTTTTGGCTGAGGTTAAAGAAATGGCTGTTTAATCACAAATGAATCAGAAATAGGAGCAGTTTATCAGTGGCTTCACTGAAAACAGTGTTTTTTAATGTCTCACCTTTGCACAGGTACCAAAGCTGTTCTTCATTTAATTCAGTTGGAAATTTTCCAGGCAGAAATGCTTCTAAAACCCTTAGAGCTCAGGAAGTTGACAACATTTAGTTTGTTTTTTAATTCAAAAGCGCACAAGAATGTTTGGATAAACTCAAATCACTGAGTGAAAACTCAGAGCTTAAACAACAGGGTTACTCTAATTTAGGATTAAAATCCAGAAATATTTTTGCTGCAGTTTTTATTCAAAAGGCTTTAATATTTTTCCCCCTATAAATATTTCTCCAAACATTTCCTCCCCAAATTTTGTGAAAACTTACTTGGTTTAATCCAGTTTAAATCCTTTTGTGTCAGGTTCTTCCGAGATATCAACTGCACCCATTATTGGCAGCGTTGTTGGGGGACTTTTACTCCTGGTTCTGGCCGCCATCATTCCTGGAGTTGTTTGTTGGAAGAAAAGATATCGGTGAGAAACCAAAGATATATTCTATGTATCATAAAACCTGTTTACATACTATTTGTTTATATTTCAGCTATTTTTATTGGTTGGTGTTTCTAAGTAAACATGACATTTTAAGATTTAATGCTTTAATTGATTTAAATGCAAAGATTTTATTGTTTCCTTTTATAAATAAACGTTATGGTGTTTGTTTCAGGATTTAAGCCAGCAAATAGTGAGTATTACAAATATGTATATTTATCTTCCTTTGTCTCATAATATTAAATTGCTGGTGTAATTATTTTAAAGTCAAATAGAACAAATTTACATTTTATTTTATTTTTCAGCTTCTGACACGTCATCCGCCTCTTCAGATGGATCAAATCCCAAGAAAGTAAGATATTTAAAATGTTCTTCAAGTTTAATCCCTTAAGGGTCATTCTTTGATTCAATTTTCCACTGGATTTCAGAAGATTATTTAAAAAGCCTCATTAATAAACAACAATCTATCTTTTTATCAACTTTTTTGAACAGATGAACAGCGAGGAGAAGATGATGAAGACTATCAGCTGAATTCAAAATGAAAAAACAGGCTGAGAAAAAGTCTACAAATCACAACATCAAAAAAATGTAAATATCTTCGAATAAATATGTTTGAAACTTTTTTTCTGAGACTTTTCTGTTTTTGCCATCATGCTTTAGTGCTTTAACTTGGGATTTAGTTATATGGGTTAATTAAACACAACAGATTTATAAAGCCAGACTCGGCTTCATATTTTTTTAACAATGTCAGACTTCTAAAAAATAATATATTCTTTCATTATTCACTAATTCAGTTAATTGAAATTTTAATCAGTGATTTTTTTTGTTTGTTGATCTTTATCTCAATCAAATTGTTGGACAGAATATTTCTATCAGGAAAACTTGTTTTTTCTAATAGCATTGTATTCAGTCAATTTTTTTTTTTTAAATCACTGCTGCTTACCTTATGAAGGCTGCACTTTAAAAAATGAAATAGTCTAGAGAGCTGTTCTTAATGAATTTATGTTTGTTTACACTTGTGTATACAAAATGACAAGTCAATAAAGTCATTTTAAGGGATTTTAATGTGACTTTGCTGTTTCTTTGTTATCTTTGTGGTTGGTTAGTTTTTCCACATTTTATTTGAAGACGTATATATACAGTTTTTTCAAAAAGTAAAAGTGATTTTTTTACTCTCCTAACACTTATTTGTATTTTTTAACCATTTCTTTCAGGATGCAAACATGTATTCGGTTTTTAACATGAGAAAAAGGATATTTATAAAAACTTTGACTAAAATCTTCAGTCGACAAATTTAAGACTCCTTTGATTTATAGCAACACAAGGAGGATTTCATTAAACTCTACCAGCAGCCCTCTGCTCCAGTCTAATTATAGGAAGCAGAACATTTAGCTGGAAGTTTTTGCTTCTCAAATGGGTTTAACAGCTGTTTCTAACAGCTTGTCAAATTAATTATATTGTGTTTTAGGCAGCGATGTCAGATTCATTTCAGAGAAGCCATGAACTGCCAGATGCACGTGCTTGACTTTATCATAGTGAAGTCAGTGGACACTTAAAAATAGCGGTTTGGTCTAGAACCCTCTTTTCTCTTATTCCTTAATCAGAAAAGGTTTTTTAGTCTGTATTTATTTATTTTCCACATAACTTCATCCCTAAAGCACAGAGCAGCAGTGGTGCTGGAGAATAGATGCCCAAAAAAAATTTTTTTTTCTTCATCTGTAGGAACCAGTGAGTTTGAAATTATTTAGTTTATTCAATTAAGTTATGTCAACAAATTTCAATTGTAGAGATTTTTGTTCCATATATAATTTAAATTTAAATTCAGATGCAAATAATTGGCCTCTACACAACCAAATTAGACAATTTCACCCATTCCTGGTCAATTTTGGTTTAATTATTCAGTGTGGTTTCATCTATTTAAAATGACATAAAAATGCTTAACTGGATTTCTTAATGTAGACATAAAAATATTTCATTATACCAACTTATTCATAGGAAAACTTCCCATAGATTTATCTCACTCACCTTAATGAGATTATAACTGCTGTTTTTTTTTCTTGTTTTAAATTTACATTTACTGAAGTTTAATTGAGGTTTTTCTGTGCAAATTTAACTCTAGAATATTTGATTCTCTAGATAAAAATTCCAGTTTGAGCCATTTTCCAGAAAATTTACATGCAGTATACACGATTTTGATGACCTTTTAAATGTGATGTGTTAAACACAACTGATTTGTTATTGTTGAAGATTTCAACATTCCCATTGACAGTCCTGAAGACAGAAGTGCAGAAAAACTATGTGAAACTCTTAGAAACTTTCATTTCAACTCAACATGTTAAACTCCAAAATGTAGAAACAGGGATAAAGTGAAGTTCAATCTGAAAAAATCACTCGAAGGGAAAAGACAATTAGAAGAAATTTATTGACACAATTACACTTTGGCACTCAGACCTCGGCAGGAAACATAGAGCTTAATTTTTTATAGATATGGATGAACAGGAGTAATGAATAGGGCTGAAACTGGTGGTGGAGTGGAGATAGATGAAGTTGGTCAGTCTGTAGACTGCTGGTTAGCGAGACGGTCGTGAGAGCTTTATGGGGAGATCCAGTGGACTGCGTGAGCTGATACTAGAGCTTCACTCAGGGACCTGGAAGATGGAAGTCCAGTTTGGATAACACAGGTTGAGAGAACCTGTCCATGATGAGCAAGCATGGAGCGACAGTGGAGAGGAAAAACTCCCCGTTGGGAAGAAACCTTTGGCAGAACCAGGCTCAACATTCTGCCGGACCGGTTAAGATGAGACGGGAAACGCGATAAGAGTCCGGGAATGATGAAACCCGATGAAGCTTTTGTCACAATGGTGGAGGAGGGGCTGGAGGTGGTTGAAACGGGTCATGCGAATGAAGTCAGACAGCGCATCCGCCACCTGCACACTTAGAAGCAGACCAGTAGATCAGAGGCCTTTAAAGATGGACTGAGATAGTAACTCAATATATTGAGATAGTGTAGTATCTCAATATAATGATATACTATCTCAATATAATGAGATGCTAACTCACTATAATGACATAGTAACTCAATATAATGAGATACTATCTCAATATAATGAGATGCTAACTCACTATAATGACATAGTAACTCAATATAATGAGATACTATCTCAATATAATGAGATGCTAACTCAATATAATGACATAGTAACTCAATATAATGAGATACTATCTCAATATAATGAGATGCTATCTCAATATAATGAGATATTAACTCAATATAATGAGATACTATCTCAATATAATGAGATGCTAACTCAATATAATGAGATATTTTTTTTTTTTTACAGAGTGGTGGAAACGGGCTTCTATGGAAAGGAAAAGCTAAGACAATAATTAAAAAAGAAATTAAGGAAAAATGCCAGAATAGATAGAACATGGATAAAAGTGGAAGAAATTATTACAGTGTACAGAAATCTATTAATGCCAAAGGTGTGGTTAGAAAGATTAGAAGTGATGAGACTATTTTAACAAGGCTAAGATTTGATCATACTGGGTTAAATAAAACCTTATTTTTATTACAGAAAAGTAAAACAGATGAATGTATAGAATGTGAAGTAATAGAAAATGTAGAATATATTTTATTATATTTTAGGAAATGCGATGAAGAAAGGATAAGATTAAAACAAAAAACAAGACAAATAGGAAGGGAATGGAATTTAAAAGGATTAATAGGAACAACAGGAGAGGAGATAAAGTAAGTGCAGAAAGTTGTTATTAAATATCTTAAGAATACAGGATTATATTATAAGATTTAAAGTTATATGTATATATGGATGTATGTCTAATTTTGTATGTATGTATATATGTATAGATAGATGGATATATAAGTAGATATATATAGATATATGTATGTATAGATATCGATATATATATAGATATAAAGTAATCGTCACATTGATATGGCCCATGCTACATACTCCGGTACAGTAGGTGGCAGTATGCTCATAAAAGTTAAGGTTGCAATTTGCCATTAAACAAAAAGAAGAGGAAGAAGAACCCTTCTTTGCCAATTTGTCTTTGGCTGCGTCTCACTTGTGTCAAATGTCACAGCCTTATTCTACCTTGCTCAGCAGTTAATTGTCTCCTTGTTTTTTGAGATTTGTGCCAGTTGCTCCACTCTTTGTGCAGTAATGCATTAAATGACTCTTTGACTTTATTTCCCTGAGTTGAGTCCTGAGTACCAATCGGTACTGACATGTTCTTGAAAAATATGTACAAAAAAGGGATTTCAGCTTATTCATCAAATTAATGACATTAAATTCAATTGTGGTATTTTTTATTGCTAAATGTACTGATGAAGTCAGGGTCAACGATGGCAGATATTCCAGGTTAATGTTTTTTATTTTCCTTTTCCAACAGCTAGTTTTCCTTTTTATCCACTTTGGCCATACATCAACTCCCAGGGTCAACAGCTTCCTTTTTATTCTCCATCGAGTTATGAGGAGACTGAGAAATTTAAAATAAACAAATGTCCAATTTTCAGATCTGATCCACTTTAAACACAGGCAATAAAAAAGACAGAGATGGATCAGTCCCCTGGGGACACCTTTACAAGTGGAAGAGATTCTGTTGTGTCCAAACTAGGGCTGCCAATCATCTCTTGGAAAAATGAACTGTATTTCGAAACAAAAGTTGAACATTGCATCTAATTAAATTCAGGTTCAAGTCAAACATTTACAAAAACATTTCACACTTAAAAGAAAGATATAAAAACCAAACCGATGGTGGTGAGCTGAAAGACAATGTGGAGGTGTGGCTTTTTTTATTATTAAAGGAGCTATCAACCCTAGTTCCAACAGATAATGTGTGCAGAAAGTCTTAACGAAGAAACAAGATGATCACATTTAGACTGCTCTGCTGAGAACCGACATAACAGGAATAGCAACAAACCACATTCAGCTCATAACCTCAAGGGGAACCTTTCTGCCCCCTGGTGGAAAAAAAACCCTCCCCTTTGAGCTCCCCACAGATACTTTAACCCCTTTTATCCATCTGCCTGTCTGAGGCTGAGTCCAACCTCTGAACAGAGGAAACTAATCACAGCTGTTTGGACCCAGAATCACATTTATTGGCTTGGTACCTTCTTAACTTTCCAGCTTTTTAAAAGTTTTTACTTCTATGAATTAGAAGCTTCAACAAATATTTTGTCTGCCCTGGATAATCATGAGTACTGAGAGGTTAGAATGAAGAGAGTCTGAAACAGGATTTATGAGCCCTATATATGACTAATATTGGTCACATAATATGGTTTAAAACAGATCTTCTACATGTTTGAGTTAAATAAACCGGATCTATTTTCCCCTGGTCTCCTAGTTTCTATATGGAGGTTAAAGATTCTAACTGCAAACATGACAGAAGCTGCGACTGTCAGTAAAAAAGCTTTACAGACCTTAAATGCTTTTATTACATTACTTTTCTTTTTTTATCTTTCTTATTTTTTTCATATATTTTTTATCTTGCTATATTTTAGATTTACTTATTTTCACTTTTGCAAAGCAGTTGCTTATCTCTTTATTTCAAAAGAAAATTAGCCAACATCCTTTTGTTCCCTTATATGTAAGATAACTAGACAGCCCTAAATAAAGTTCTGAGAGAAGAAGAACTCATTTTACATGAAAGAGGAAGGAAGTAAAGCAGATCTAAAAGTGTCTGACAGCATGGCTGAAATGGCAGCTTTTATCTCTCTGATTCTAGTTGGATTATATCTACAGGAGGCTACGACAGGTGAGATGGACAATTTAAAGATATACATCAATGTTATTATAATCAGACTAAGTTCTTTAGTTCCTGTTGTTTTAATTATGATGGTTCTTGGTGGGAAACCCTGAGTGTTGACATTTTTTACTCACCAATTAATATATATATTTAAATCAAACACAGAAGTGGCTCTTAGTTTTTTCCTTACTTATTACTTTGTCATATATATCATCATCAGTATTATTTAACATTATCTTTGAGTTCTTTATATCCAAAATGGCAGCATATATGCCCACAGCCCTGTTGTTACTCTGTAGCAATAGGCTTTGTATTATGGACATTGCTGACTTTATTTGGTATAGTTATCCTTACGTTTATTTTTTACTGTAGTGTTTCCAGAGAAATAAAAATAAAAACTTTAAAGAAGAATAATGAACAATTAAATATTAAAGTGTATTTAACTTGTTTAGTCTTCCTGTGGAGAACCATGTGACCTGATTTAATTGTCTTTTTAGAAACTGATACTTAACTCTTTACTGGCACTTCCTGCACAAAGACAAATTAGACATTTTTTGTTGTTAATATTTACACATTAATGTGATGTGGTCACTTTTTAAAAATTTTAAGATCAATGGACAGAAATAAATGAGTCCATTTAACCAAAATCATGATGAACTGCTGCAATATGTGAAAATCAATTTAAAGAGGTTTAGATTAGAATCTCTGCAGAAAAATAAAACAAATTGAGAGATTAATAAAATAAATATGGCGTCAGATAGTTAAAAAGTTTTCTGTCAGACGGTTTCTGTGTTTTTTTAAGGAGGAGCTGCTGATTCCAGTTTCCTGTCCATCCTACTTCTGATAAACAGTTTGTCCACCTTTACAGACCTGCAGCAGGTCTCTAGGATGAAGAAGGGATTTTAATTATATAAAAATGCTTTTTGATGTTAATACATTGGAGAACCAGAGAATGTTATAAAGGAATTAAAACATTTTATTTAAAAAAACTTCCACAAATGAGTATTGTGTAAATAAAAAAGCAAAAAAAAATAAAAAATAATAATAATAATAATTAGGAAAACAGTTTTAATATTCAGATTTCAGGATTTGAAATGTTAGAATTAAGGACTGAATCTTGTCCTCATATATCAACACAGTCTTATTTAAAGCCTACTAAACAACAATAATGTAAATAAGTAACATTTTAAAGGTCAGATGTGTTTGGAAGTAAGATGGAGCTACAAGATGCGTCTGTTTGATGTGAATTTTAGACAAATTTATAATCATAAGTATGTAAAAATGTATTTTCTTAGTTTTCTGTAGGTTATGAGTGATGATAGAGTGATGATGGTAAAACAGCTCTTTGCTTTTCCTCACAGTGATCCACTCTCTGAAGTATTTCTACACAGCATCTTCTGGAGTCCCAGACTTCCCTTCCTATGTGTCTGTTGGGCTGGTGGATGATGTTCAGATCAGTTACTGTGACAGCAGAACCGACAGAAACATTCCTAAACAGGAATGGATGAAGAAAGTGAGCTCAGAAAGTCCAACTTACTGGGAGGAGGAAACTGCAACATGTCTGGGAAAACAGCAAGTCTTCAAAGCCAATATAGAAATCGCTAAGCAACGATTCAACCAGACTGGAGGTTTGTTCAGATTCTCTTTCTACATAGATCAGATAATTTTAGTCACCGCTATTGGTGAAGATAAACATCGTCACTCTACTTTATAGACATGCAAGACTCAAAACTTTCATTTCTTAAAATCTACTTCTTTAAACATTTTAAACAGAAAGCAGTAATTGATAGTTTTTATTTTCCCTTTAAAACCTAACATGTGACAAACTGACTCATTGGAGAGAAATTAGAGAATTATATTTTAAAGTCACTACACTGTGTGTTTGTCTCAGGAGTTCACAGCAGATGTACGGCTGTGAGTGGGATGATGAGACTGGAGAGGTTAAAGGTTATGATCAGTTTGGTTACGATGGAGAAGATTTCCTTTTTCTGGACCAGCAGACACTGACATGGATCGCTCCAGTACAACAGGCTGTCACCACCAAAAACAAGTGGGATAATAATAGAGCTGCTATAGAGAATGAGCGGTCCTACTTAACTCAGACGTGTCCTGAATGGCTGAAGAAGTATCTGAGCCATGGGAGGAGCTCTCTGATGAGAGAAGGTATTACTAAACATCATGTGGTTTGAAAGAAACAGCTACATTTCTGTTTGTATTGTATAAATATCACTCAATCACAGATTTCATTAAGTTATTGTTTTCTTAATGTTTTACTGTGTTGTAATGTCAGTTAGCAGTTTCAGTATTAATTTCTGTATTATACCTAATTTAGAAATCATTTTTTTGTCTGTTTATTAAAATGTTTATTGTGTTTAGAAATGTGCAGCACAAACTGTGTCTAAAGCTATAAAAGAAAGACATTTTATTTATCCTCCAGATCTTCCCTCAGTGTCCTTCCTCCAGAAGTCTTCCTCCTCTCCAATCAGCTGCTTTGCTACAGGTTTCTACCCCAACAGAGCAGAAATGTTCTGGAGGAGAGATGGAGCAGAGATCCATGATGGTGTAAATAGAGGAGAGATCCTCCCTAACAATGATGGAACCTTCCAGATGACTGTAGACATAGATCTGTCTTCTGTTCCACCTGAAGACTGGACCAACTATGAATGTGTGTTTCAGTTCTCTGGTATTAGCATCTTCCACAGACTGGAAAATCCAAAAAGGAACAGTGAAGGTAAGTAATTGTGTAAAAAAGCCACAAAGGTCAGTATCGTATGGTTATAAACCTCTCTCTGCTATGATTGTTTGTTAGACTTACGATTCATTTTTAAGGTTTAAATGAAATAAGGAATAGCTTTATTGTATCGCCAGGTGGAAATTCAGATGTGAGAGTTTTTAAAATCAACTAGTCAGAAGACACATTATCTGTGTCTGAATCCTAAAATAAAACGATGAAGACAAACAATTTGCTGTTATTAATGTACAATCGATTGCAGTTATCAGTGCTTCATTTTATTGTCTTTAAATAAAAGTTATTGGTCAAACATCTACAGTTCTCAAGTAAAAGTATTAAAGAAATCACTTTTAAAACTACTTAAGTATTCAAAAGTAAATGCTTTTAAAAAGTACTTAACTATTCAAAAATACAAAAATCAGAAGAGTTCTGTGTATTTTTCAGAGTAATTTTAAAGTACCTTGTAACTTTCAGAAACCACCTGATGGCTAGAACCACCTGCTAGAACTTCAAAATACAAATACTGCAAAAATAAGGACAACTATTGTAATCATTATTTTGTATTTAAAAACAGCAGAGAAAACAGGAGAGTCTTGATTCTCCTTACGCTTTCACTATGGAAAAGAGGGTTAAGGTTGAATCTATTACCACAAAGAAACAATAACTGATTTAAGACTACTGAATAACTTGGCCACATGGTAACAACTAAAGCCTTAATAAAATTGATAAACTACTAATAATATCTGCCCTGAGTTTCTCACATGCAAATATCAAAATCAGCGGTGTTTACATTCAGTCCTAGTACCTGCTATGTTGCATGTTGAAATTGCATTTAAAAAAAGAAAAACAGCAACAGTGGATTACAAAGCTAAGCTGAGCTAAAAGGAACAAATAACTCACAGCCTTCTAGAAATGTAGTAGAAAGTACAATATCTGACTTTGAAATGTAATGGAGGGTGTTGCTGCCACTTTTTCATTTATGCCTGTTTTGTGTGTATTTCATTGCTGTTGTTAATATACGCCACCAGGGGGTGCATGGAGGGGCTTTGTATGCAGATTAGAGATTAGTTTTCTAAGAAGAAGCGATTTCCAGAGAGAGCTGATGCATGTGTCGGTCACAGGTCGGTCACAAAGTTTAAGTAAAGCAAGAAAGAAGAAACCCAAGAATAATTCCACTCTATTCTGGTACTCAGCCAACGAGGTATTAAGTCTGTTTATTTGTGGCAGTCGTCATATTTGTTAATTGTCTTTATTTTTTGTAAGCTAATTATTGTATTGTTTGTGCCTTTTAGTTTTCACGGTGTGGTTTATGAGTCTGAACAAGCAAGATTCAATAAATCCATCTGTAGAGAAAGCCACTTGTGCCTGTCGTACCTGGGGGAATTACAGTGAAAACTCGGACTGATCTGCACGAGTGAAGGCGAGGCGGCGGCATGATCAAAGGAGCAGCAGTCTGGCCACAGCGTGATCAGCGCGTGCACTAAGCCGGGAGCGCGCACAGGACCGAAGCATGCGGTTTGAAGAGCAACACTTAAGATAAGGCCATAAGAAGTTTGGACATTCACAAGTTAAGGAACTGTCTGAAAAATATAAAGCAAGCTTATGGTTTACTAATCAAGCGGTAATCATTAGTAAAGTTTTTTGTTATCACTGGGTTTCTGTTAAGCCATAGTATAAGTTTAAAGACATTTGATAAAAAAATTAAAATATATATATAATAATAATTTAAAGAAATAATAATAATAGTAAAAAATATATATATAATAAAAAAAAAAATTTAAAAATTAAAAGAAAAAAAAAAAAAAGAAAATTCACACATTTGATTTAAAAATCAGTTTATTTTATATTGTTTCATATTGGGACATTTGTAACATCAAGGTGAATTTTGTATTTCATTTGTAAGGTCAAGAACTTTTATTAGAACAAGTTTGGGTTATATCTAAGTAAATGAAATAATAAGTTATATTGTTATTACTGTATTGAGGTTAAGTGTTACATTTTGATTTTCTTCTACATATATATTTTTAACCGCCTTCAGAAAGAGGGTGACTTTAGTTAACATTAGACATTTTTCACTGATTAGTAACAAGATGTTGACATGACTGACCCAAATAAGCTGCCAGTAAGTACAAACTCTCAACATCATTCTGAAGAAAACGAATGTACTGATCAAAAACTAAGAAGAAGTGGGAGAGTTAAAACACTCACAGAAAAAGGAAAAGAAATGCAAAAAGAAAGGATCAAAGGACTCCAGCAAAGGTTTAACTATAATTATGAAAAATGGAGAGCACGTGCCAAATCATCTAAACTACCTCTCTCTCAATCAGATCCTTTAAGTAATGACATACTTGAAGATATTATAGCTGATGTTAGGGGTCTTTGTGCAGACGTCACAAAGGTTTATGAAGAGTTACGCAAGCTCACCCCACCAGATCAAGAGACACGTCGTAGAGTAGATCTATGTGTGGAGATCTCAGGTTTCCTTGTGAAAAGAGCAACCAACAGACTGGATGGAAAAGAGGAAGAAGAAGAAGAAGATTGGCCAGAATCAGGTTCCCTCTTTCAAACCATAAGTAGTAAGTCAGGCTCTTTTAATACAAATAAGAAATCTTCTGAACACTCAAACAGATCCTCTACAAAGCATCAAGAAGCTGCAGCAGAAGCAGCAGCAAGTCAGGCTGTTCTCAAAGTGTTACGAGAACAAGAAATTGAACAGCAAGAGATTGAAAGGCTTGAAGTTGAAGTCAGGAAAAAGGCAGTAGAGCAAGAATCATTGTTTAGACAAAGATGCTTGGAAAGAGAGGCAGAAGAAATCAGGTTAAGAATGCAGAGAGAAGCAGATGAAGCTAAGTTCAAGGCTCAACAAGAAGAAGAATATGCAGCTCTGCAGAGAACGCTTGATGAAAAGAAAAGAAAGGTACAGCTCCTGGAAAGGGTAATGGATCTTAAGGCAGCAGAAGCAAGAATGCAGGTTTATGACCAAATAAGTATAACAGATGAATGCAAAGTTGATGCAACAAAGTTTAATAGGAAAGGTGAAGATGTTGAACATGTAAGGTTCCCATCTCAGCTTAAACAAGTCTTACCCCAAGCTGCAGCCACCTCAGTAAGTGATGGTACATCAGACCTTGTTAAAGCGCTGGCAAGTGCACTAAGTGCTAGTCGTATCCCTGTTCCTGAACCGGCTGTGTTTTCTGGGGATCCCTTAAGCTACAGTGACTGGAAACTGTCGTTTCAAACGCTGATAGATCAAAAGAACATCCCAGACACTGAGAAAATATTCTACCTTCGGAGATATGTGACTGGAAAAGCTAAAAGAGCAGTTGAAGGATACTTCCTGCTTGGAACAGAATCTGCATACGCTGCTGCATGGAAAGTTCTGGATGAAAGATACGGAAATCCGTTCACAATTGCAACAGCTTATAGAGACAAACTGCATGCGTGGCCCAAGATTACTTCAAGGGACAGTTTTGCACTAAGAGATTTTGCAGATTTCTTGCGCAGTTGTGAGGCTGCAACAGCTCACATCAAGTCATTAGAAATCCTGAATGACTGCAATGAGAACAGGAAGATTCTGTCTAAGCTTCCAGACTGGCTTGCTGCTAGTTGGAACCGAAAGGTTATTGAAATCGAGGAACAAACACATCAGTTTCCCACTTTCAGCCAGTTTGTTGACTTTTTAACCAGAGAAGCCAAGATTGCTTGCAATCCTGTTACATCATTGCAGTCACTAAAACAGTGTGAGCCTAACATATCAGACAAACCGAAACTCACAAACCAGCGACAACTAGGAGCTAAGACACTGACAACAACTTCACAAGAAAAGATACAGCTAACATGTGTATTCTGTAAGAAACCCAAGCACAGTTTGCACAAATGCAGAAGTTTTCTGGACAAAGCTGTGCCAGACAGAGTCAACTTCATTAAATCAGAAAAGCTTTGTTTTGGTTGTCTCAAACCAGGTCACCATTCAAAGAACTGTACCAACCGCAATGTTTGTGAAAAGTGCAGTAAAAGACATCCTACCTGTCTTCATGAAGACAGAGTTAAAGACAAAGAAGAACAAAGACAAGCACCAAATAAGCCAGAGTCAAATAATGAAAGATCAAGACAAAGCGACCAAGCTCAAGAGCAAGTTACAGCCACAGCTATGACTAACCAAGTAACGGGTCAAGAAAATACCACACAGACAGCCGCAATCATTCCCGTTTGGCTTTCATCTGCTACTAAACCCCAAGAAGTCCTCGTATATGCGATGCTAGACTCACAGAGTGATACAACTTTTGTTCTCAGTGAAGTTGCAGATTTGCTAGAGACAAACCAAGAACCTGTTAAACTAGAGCTGTCTACTATGTCTTCCCAGACTACAGTTGTTCGATCTCACAGACTTCAGAATCTCCAAGTTCGTGGCTTTAACTCAAGCAAAATAATCACTTTACCCCCTACATATACAAGAGAGTTTATTCCAGCCAACAAAGCTCACATCCCAACTAATGAGACAGCCAATGCTTGGCCACATCTTCAACATCTTCAACTAGAAATCGCACCTTTGCAAGACTGTGAGGTAGGATTGTTGATTGGATACAATTGTTCACAAGCTCTCCTCCCAAGAGAGATTGTGTCAGGTAAAGATGATGAGCCGTATGCTCAGCGCACTGATCTTGGTTGGAGTATAGTTGGACAAACCAATCCCTGCTTAAACTATGGAGACGCAATTGGAATCAGCCATCGCATCATTGTTAAGAAGGTCATCCCAGAGCTTGAGTCCTCTCAAAAGCTTCAAAACAAAGTCTATTATGTCAACAGAACAACGGTGAAAGACGTCACTCCTTCAGACATTATCAAAGCACTCGAAGGAGATTTTTCTGAACGGGCTATTGATAACAACCCTGTGTCGCAAGAAGATTTACTGTTTATCAAAAAGCTTAGTGAGAACATCAAACAAAACGAAAGCGGCCACTACGAGATGCCATTACCATTTCGTAACCAAAGACCCACATTACCAGACAATAAAATATGTGCAATGCATCGCCTAAAGTGTCTGGAAAAAAGATTAAAGAAGGACAAATCATACTACAATGACTATGCTAACTTTATGGATGACATAATCTCAAGAGGAGATGCAGAAAGGGTTCCAGACCAGGAGTTGAATAACCATCCTGCATGGTATATCCCACATCATGGGGTCTATCACCCACACAAACCTGGAAAGATCAGAGTAGTGTTTGATGCCTCTGCAAAGTACCAAGACACTTCTCTCAACGACCATCTCCTAACTGGCCCTGACTTGACGAACACATTGGTGGGCGTTCTTTGTCGTTTTCGCAGAAGCTCTATTGCATTCATGTGCGATATAGAGCGAATGTTCCATCAATTTCATGTCTCAAAAGAGGATCAGGACTATTTAAGGTTCCTTTGGTGGGAGAAAGGAAATTTGGAAGCAACACCATCCGTTTACCGTATGAAGGTCCATCTCTTTGGAGCAGCGTCTTCTCCAGGCTGTGCCAATTTTGGCCTAAAACACCTAGCAGCCCAAGGACATGGCCAATTTAAAGAAAACACCATACATTTCATACAAAGAAACTTTTACGTTGACGACGGCTTGGCAAGCGTTCCAACTGAAAATGAAGCCATTCAACTCATCAAAGACTCAAGAGAGTTATGCTCCAAAGGGAAGTTAAGACTCCACAAATTTGTGTCCAATAGTGAGAGAGTTATGTCCACTATTCCAAAGGAAGAGTGTGCTACAGTTAGGGACCTTGATATGTCTCTCGGTTTACCACACATTGAAAGAGTACTCGGAGTTGAATGGAGCATCACTTCAGACGCTTTCAAGTTCAGAGTCCAAGCCAAGTCCAACCCGCTTACCAGAAGAGGTGTACTGTCTACCGTTGCCTCTATTTACGATCCGCTGGGTTTTATAGCCCCATTTGTACTCTTAGGCAAGCAAATCCTCCAGCAAATGTGCAAGGATAAAGTCGAGTGGGACCAAGAGCTTCCAGATTACTTAAAACCTCAGTGGGAATCCTGGATTAAAGATATTCCAAGCTTAGCCAACATGGAGATTCCAAGATGTTTCATCCCTGCAGAGTTTGGCCAGGTTAAAAGCTTCGAACTTCATCACTTCGCAGATGCCAGTGTCAATGGATATGGTGCATGTACTTACCTGCGAATCATTAACAAATCAGATGAAGTCCATTGTTGCTTAGTGATGGCAAAATCAAGAGTCACACCCACTGCTGTCATGACCATCCCTCGACTCGAACTCTCAGCTGCAGTTGTTGCAGTTAGAGTCAGTGATCTACTCAGGGCAGAGCTGGAAATCCCAGACATTACAGAGTTTTTCTGGACAGATTCCACTGTTGTTCTCGGATACATAAATAATGATGCCAAAAGGTTTCAAGTGTTCGTAGCTAATCGCATTCAAAGGATCAAGTCAAGCACAAGGCCAGAACAATGGGCGTACATCCCATCAGAGCAAAACCCTGCAGACTACGCTTCTCGAGGCTTAACTGCAGAACAATTGAAGTACTCCAATTGGTTTAAGGGACCAGCATTTCTCTGGGAGAGGAACATTCCTGCTAGAGATATGAAGGTGGGAGAGGTCAAGGAAAATGACCCAGAACTTCGCAAAGCTTTTGTGTGTACCACCAACGCAAAAGAAGAGCAGACCATTCTCAACAAATTTGAAAAGTTCTCAGAATGGTCCCGATTGATAAGAGCACTTGCAACCCTGAGAAGAAAGGTTAAGGAATGCAAGGGAGACAAACAAAGGACAAAAGAAAGTACAAGTTTGGAAGAGAGAAAAGAAACAGAACTGTTTGTCATCAAACTTGTTCAAGAGAAAGCTTTTGCAGAAGAGATAAAGAGTCTAAAATCAAATAAACCAGTTTCCAAGACCAAAAACCATCATCTTTATAAACTAAGTCCATTTCTGGACGAAGACGGAGTCCTTAGAGTTGGTGGACGTTTGAGTCAAGCTGTGCTGCACTCACATGTAAAGCATCCAGCCATACTTCCCAAGGACAGTCATGTTTCAACTTTGCTCATCAGACATTTCCACTCGAAGGTTCAGCATCAAGGTCGTGGAATGACTCTGAATGAGCTGCGTGCCAACGGTTGGTGGATTCTAGGAAATAGCCGTGCAGTCTCATCATACATCTTCAACTGTGTCAAATGTCGCAAATACAGAAGGAGGACAGAGACTCAAAGTATGGGAGATTTGCCAGCTGATCGAACTGAGCCTACACCACCTTTCACTTATGTCGGAATGGATTGTTTTGGACCAATATATGTCAAGGACGGCCGTAAGGAGCTCAAAAGATATGGACTGATACTAACTTGCTTATGTTCACGAGCCATTCATATTGAAGTTGTAGATGACCTGAGTACAGACGCATTCCTGAATGCGATACGTGCGTTTATCGCAATAAGAGGGAATGTGCGCCAGCTAAGATGTGACAGAGGCACCAATTTCGTTGGTGCTCAGAGAGAGCTTGCTGATCTCATGAAAGACATGAATCAGGAGAAAGTGAAAGCACTTGGATGTGAGTTTCTTATGAATCCCCCTTCAGCAAGCCATATGGGTGGAGTATGGGAGAGACAGATAAGAACCATCCGTAGTGTTCTTTCAGCCATCCTTGACCAGTCAGCCAAGAGACTTGACAGTACATCTTTGAGAACCCTTTTGTATGAGGTTATGGCGATTATCAACAGTAGGCCACTCACCATCGAGCATTTGAGTGATCCAACAGGCCCTGAACCATTAACACCTAACCATATTCTCACGATGAAGTCGACCATTATCCAACCTCCACCAGGAGATTTCATGAAAGAAGATTTGTATCTTCAAAAAAGATGGAGAAGAGTGCAATATTTGGCCAACGAGTTTTGGATCCGTTGGAGGAAAGAATATTTGCTCAACTTGCAACCAAGACAAAAGTGGAATGCACACAGAAGGGATCTTAAGATTAATGATATAGTGCTTCTGCAAGAAGACGCGGCACCACGCAATGAATGGAAGCTGGCCAAAGTCACAGATGTCTATCCTGGAACCGATGACAAAGTGAGAAAGGTTAGACTTTTGGTTAGTGAAAAGACTTATGACAAACACGGTAAACATGTGACTAAAACACTTTCATTAGAACGCCCTATACATAAGGTTATTGTTTTGCTAGAAGCAGACTAAGGATTTTGTTTTTGTTCATGCTGAGTGTTCTGAATGTAAAAAATCCCACATGAGGAATTGTGAGATTGGTGGGAGTGTTGCTGCCACTTTTTCATTTATGCCTGTTTTGTGTGTATTTCATTGCTGTTGTTAATATACGCCACCAGGGGGTGCATGGAGGGGCTTTGTATGCAGATTAGAGATTAGTTTTCTAAGAAGAAGCGATTTCCAGAGAGAGCTGATGCATGTGTCGGTCACAGGTCGGTCACAAAGTTTAAGTAAAGCAAGAAAGAAGAAACCCAAGAATAATTCCACTCTATTCTGGTACTCAGCCAACGAGGTATTAAGTCTGTTTATTTGTGGCAGTCGTCATATTTGTTAATTGTCTTTATTTTTTGTAAGCTAATTATTGTATTGTTTGTGCCTTTTAGTTTTCACGGTGTGGTTTATGAGTCTGAACAAGCAAGATTCAATAAATCCATCTGTAGAGAAAGCCACTTGTGCCTGTCGTACCTGGGGGAATTACAGAGGGAAAATTGTAATTACTCCCCATAGAAATTACTGAAGTAATGTAGAGATACAGTACAGTAATCAAGTAAATTGACTTTCCACCACTGGTTATTATTGAAATAACCACTGAAAGTTAAATAAAACTAAATAAATAAGCTGAAAGTTCTTGGAGGTTTCAACATGTTCAGTGGATGAAAACCTTAAAGAACAGAAACCAGAACAATTAAAAAGTTAACAAAACTAAACCCAAGCCATTGTTTGAAAAAAAGGGATAAAAGAACTGAACAAACCAACTCTATATGAGGCAAGGCAAGGCACATTTATTTGTATAGCACAATTCAGTACAAAGACAATGCAAAGTGCTTTACATGATTAAAATACATGAAGATAAAACAGAATCAAAGCAAGTAGGGAAAAAAATAAATAAATAAAATAAAAAAATGCAGAAACAAAAAAAGAACATTAAAAACAGTTGGATTAAAGAAAATATGTTTTAGTTGAACTTTTTAACTAGAACAGTGGAAGGCAATCCTAAACAAATGTGTTTTTAGTCTTGATTTAAAGGAACTCAGGCTTTCCGCACTTTTACAATTTTCTGGAAGTTTGTTCCAGATAAGTGGAGCAAAGGAACTAAATGCTGCTTCTCCATGTTTAGTTCTGGTTCTAGGTATGCAGAGCAGGCTGGAGCTGGAAGACCTGAGTGGTCTGGAGGGTTGATACACTGATAGCAAGTCTGTGATGTATTTAGGTGCTAAGCCATTCAGAGATTTGTAGACTAACAGAAGTATTTTAAAGTCTATTCTCTGAGATACAGGGAGCTAGTGGAAGGACTTTAGAACTGGGGGGATGTGCTCTACTTTCTTAGTCTTAGTGAGGACACGGGCAGCAGCGTTCTGGATCAGCTGCAGCTGTCTGATCCACTGAGACTGACCTGTTCTTTCCTCTCAACAGCCATAACAGCAGTAAATCAAACCTCTGGGATCGTCTATTTAATGGCTTTGAAAGCTGCTGTTCTTGGTCTCTGTGTTGTGTTCACATGCATTCTGTACATGATGAAAAAAGGTGAGAGAATCTGATTTTATACTCCTTTTTTCTTTGTTTTTGTTGTTGAATTTTACCCAGTGAGAAGTAGGTGTGATTTAAATGTTAAAGTTACATATAAACCTCCTTTAGACATGAATCAATGACATTTTGATGTGATGCTGTGATTTAGACCTGAAGATTATCACCAAGTTTAAAACAAGAAAGACTTAATGGTCTAAATTTGGACTAAATTTAGACTCAGGATCATAAGAATGAACAAACCCTGATAAATAAATGAAAACTTTGTTCAAGTATTGATAAATTTTAAACTTTTTTTTAGTTGTTTTACTTTGATAATGACGTTAGATTGCCAGTATTTGACGTCTAAAACATATTGAAATGTTACAAAGAAACCTACATTGTTTTTCAGAAAATTTCAGAACAACATTTTAGAACAACCTTATAGATCATAAGGAGTAGCCAAATATGTTGTTGAAAAATATAAAATAGGCCTTTAACTGGAATTTTCAAGCAAAACCACCTACAAGTTTAATAACTAAAATTCTGAAGCTACAGTTAATAGAGGGAGCTCAGCCTACTGATGTTAAGAAGCTATATCTAGTTGAAAAAGGGAAAACTTCTTAGCTAGAGATCTGTTAGTGAAAACAGTTTAGATAAACAGATTGAAAAGCTAAATAAATAACCTTTTCTCAAAAGATGCCATTAGAGCTCAGTGATTCTTCTTTTATTTCAGTTTAATCTAAATGTTCAGAAGGAAAAACCTCCAGAAACAAACATACCAGATGTTCATAGGAAGCTCAACACAATCATCTTATAACTAAATAAATATATAAAATAAATAGAAACAGGAGCAACAGATTAGATACCTGGCAATTTGTATTGTACTTAATCCTTGGTTAAAAGGGAATAAAAATTAAAAAAATGCATATTAATTGACAAGCTGTATTGGGGTTCTGGAGCTCATTTTACTAAATTAAATGTATTGAATTAAAGTTAATACTTTGTCTTTTTGTCTCTTTAGGTTCCTGAATGAATTTTGTTTTGAAACACGAAGAAGGCCCTCTTCTCTCTATAAATGATTACATTTAATTGTTAAATTAAACATAATCATTATTGTACCACTCTACATTAAATGCTTTTTTTTTATAAAAAGGAGTGATTTTAAGATGATAAAAATGATAATATCACTTTTTTTCATTGTTTTGTAATCAATTTATATCGTAACTTTTCATCCATACATAATTCTTCCAACCAGTGAAGTTTATCTGCAGTCAGACCTATTTTATTCTCAGTTCATGTCTGGTTTCTCTGTTTTCTCCTGTTTAACTAAATAAATCAGGATTGATATAAACAGACTATTTAAACATTGACAGACTAATCTTATACACTTAATCCCAATCTAAAATCTGTCAGTAGAATGCTGTATATTATTTTGATTAAAATGTTTGCTTGACATTAAAGGTTAGGAATCAGATTAATGAAATAAAATGAAATATACAACAATTGGATGAGTTAGATACTGTGTTGGTTGTAGAGTCCTTCTTATGCTCCCACAAGTGTGAAAGCACCACCAACATTCAAACATCAGCCAGGGAGAATAGAAACCAGAGTACCAGAGGGAGATTTGTCTTTATTTCAGATGGAATAAACATAATATGTATATATTGCCATAATGGGAATGAGCATTTTTCATCAGCCTGTACCTGTTGTGTGTTGTTGTCGCTTATAAGTTGTCCAGAGTGATCTGTAGCTGCAGGTCTGGAATTTATCTTATGTATTGTTCCTTGTTTCTAACCACCATCTTTATAAGCTATGGCTGGTTGTCATGGTTGCAAGATGTTGCCTTCAGGTCGGGGATATGAGAGGAGTTTTTCTGCACAAACAGGCTTCAGGGGCCTCATTGTAAATATTTTTTATTTTCAAATGTAGCATAATATGGGACCTTTAAGTCCTTTCATCAAAAAGCAAAAAAACAAATTCAAGACAAAAATGCCAACTTAGCAACAACTATACATTGCTCACAAAGAATATGTATATATATAAAAAAAAAATAACAACATTACTTTAAAAGGTCAACAATTGTAAAAAAATTATACAAATGTAATAACTTTATGAATTCAATATCTTTATGCCTGTTAAATGGAAAACTATTTGTCATCTACAAAGTAGCAAACTGCATCTTTCATGATATTTTTTTTTCTAAAATTAAAACATATGAAATTAAAAACCTTCCGGAAAATATCATCATATCGTTCCTAATATTATTATGGCATTACATTTTCTTTTGTGTTAGATTCAACTGAACTACTCAAATGAAAAAGCTATAATAATATTGTCATTTTTTAAACCTCTTGCTGTCAGAAAATTATTTGATTGCAAAATCCAAAGAATGTAAAACATTTAATTCAAGACACACATTTGATGCTTTATTTAGATGCAGAGACTCAGGAAAAGGCTGATTGTTATTGGCGTCTTTAGATATTGTTGCCCAGAGCCCTAATTAGATTGCTGCCATTTGTTGAGACAATTAAATAAACAGAAAAATATTCAACTATCTTTCTATGTCCATCAGTTACACAATATTGTACCTTTGATGCCATCATTATGCAATGTTTGCATCATTGGGCATTGCCTTATCTGTTAAGGACAAAAGATGATGTCTCTGGACCCGAAGCTGGAGAACCTAGAAAATAATATTTCTTATGTTAGATATGAAAAAAAATATATGAATACAGATTCATCTCTCTCAAAATCAAAGATCTAATGAAAACCATCAACTTTGACAGAATTTATAGGAAAATTGTCCACTTTGGTTCCTGCTGCAATAAACCCCTGATTATTGTTCTTTTCTTCTTGATCATACAGTCTATACCTGCAATAAGTCTACTTGTACCTGACCTCCTTAATCTTTAGTTCCCAACTTCCAACAAAAATTGCATTGAATAAATACTCACTAACTGCAGGGTAAAGCACTGAGGTCCTGATAAGGCAAATTTATTTATAGAGCACATGGCAAGATAATTGAAAATGTTGCTGAAACAAATACAATCTTAGAATAATCATTTGTTTATAATAGACATTTATATCTCAACCACAGGTAGAATAACTTGAATACTAGTATATGTCTGCTCTAATGGGAATACCTTTAGATAATCTGAGTATTTGAGGACATCTAAAGCAGTTTAACTGAAGTTTCTCCTCTCAAGATAAGGTAAGATATAAAGCAGTGATTCTTAACCATAGGGCCACGGCCCAAAGTTGGGCCGCCAGCGCCCCCTTGTGGGCCGCAAAAATCTGTCAGTTTTGCACCTGTGGGTGATTTGGTCCATGAATTATCAGCCTGTTCGGTGTCTTGATGTATGTGTGCAGGTTTATGTAAACGTTTAATAAAAGTTTTTGTGATGATCCCCTTTTATCATGTCATTTTATTAGACAATTTTTTTGCTTGTTAAGCAATAAGTGGATTTGGTTTATTATTGAATATAAATCAAACTGTACAGTGTTAATATATAATGGGCCCCGGGGCCACTTTGTACTATAAAAATTGGGCCTCAAGGTCGAAAAGATTAAGAACCCCTGATATAAAGGATTTAATTGTGCAAAATATTTAGAGATCTTTAAGTTATTCTAATTTTGCCTTTAAGTTATATTTTACACACCTTCAACAAATCTCTTACTCAAATCATATTTACTTATCATAAGCTATATAAAGTCCAGAATGGGCAGAATATTGATTCAGCTCTTTCTAAATTAAAGAATTGATGGCAAATTACCGAGTCAGAGGTTTTCTAGGAAACATTTTTAGTGTTGTTATTGCTTTAACAAACCTCATTCTGGGGTGGATTTACAAAGAGGCAACTGTCTCTCTGCTGTAATTTGGGATTTATGTTGATGGTTTTTCACAGCTGATATCTCCTTTTCTTTTTCTTGTAGCCGATAACCGTTAATAAACTGCAGTGCTTTTCTAAATATTAAACGTAAAGTATGTAAGAAAACAGTGTAAAGCTTTGATTTTACCAAATAAAACTTGCAGCAATATTAACAGCAAACACTAGATCAACACCAGTTCACGCCGAACCAGACGCCTAAACCTGTGAAAATCTTGCCAGTTTTGTCTGCTTTTTCTCGCCTTAATATTTGCCTGGCCAGCGAAAGCGTTTTGTCCAGCAGGCGAAACGCTTCCACATCATGGAGTCTGCTAGTCGTTACTTTCACCTACTTCAATCATCTTTCCTTTTCTTACATGAACATTGAAAGTCCAGATTCTGCTGACATGCTGCACCGTTACTGTTTCGTAGATGTTTTTCACTCTGAATAAAAGGTCAACAACAAAAAAAATACAACAAAAGGAAGAAAAGTTATTCATCTCTCACCGTTCTTTTTCTCGTAAAGAACGACTCCGATCACAAGAGCAAGAACGGCAACAGCAGAAACAACAGCGACGATTATTATGGTGAGATTTGCTTTAAAATAAGAGAAAAGGTCACATCAATGTAGAGTCACAGATGTATTCATGGCCTTTATCCCAGTGTCCAGAGGCGTAGACAGACAATTTTTAATAAGGGGGCCAGGCAATAACCAATGTAAGCCGAAAGTGGATAGGCGCCAGAACCTCACGGTCAATCTACACTGTTCAACAGGAAAATGAACATCCACAACATCCATTTTTTCTACATAAAATACAACTATACTGTCCTACAACCTTTGCTAACAAATAGAGACATATATATTTATTTGCTTTCTAGATAAAAGGTATAGAGGATAAAATTCTTTCAGGTTTAAGCTCTAGATTGAACATTTTTTTCATTGTGATTACTTACCAACTTTTATCAATAATCATTCTGAATAAAACTGATATTTACAAGAAGTAAAATCTACATAAATTGATTATTTAATAAGTTTTTATTAAAATAGTTATTTATCTATGATTTCACTGAAGACTCCTGGATCATTTCCTCCTTGCCAAACAACACAAGTCCTAAAAATGATCATCTTTAATGTTAGCATATTGATCTGCATAATTAACCACAGTGTTTTTGTTGCCAAGTAACTGTTAACATATGAAAAATTAATTTTTTTTTAATATTTAACCTGACAGTATTCCTGCTACCATCTGTATTAGAGGGGAAAAAATAGTAAAATAGCCACAGGGGTGGCCAATATTTGGCTAAGGGTGGCCATGGTCACCCCTCGCCCCCATCTAGCTCTGCCTCTGCCAGTTTCAGATAACATAAATCACTTATTTTAACTTTGTTTCAGGCTAAGATTATGACACAGAGAAAAAATGCTTTTCTTCTAAATTCTGAATTTAAATTTAAAGGCCAGTCAGTACAAATATTTCTATAAACACATGTGGCTTTTTGTTTAAAGTTACTTACATTCATTGGTCATTATTTTTGTTTTCTCCAGTCTTTCTGTGATGTTTCTATTGACTCCAGAGAACTGAAACACACATTCATAGTTGGTCCATTCTTCAGGTGGAACAGAAGACAGATCGGTGTCCAGAGTCATCTGGAAGGTTCCATCATTGTTAGGGAGGATCTCTGCTCTACTTAAACTATCATTGATTTCTGCTCCATCTTTCCTCCAGAACATTTCTGCTTCTTTGGGGTAGAAACCTGTAGCAAAGCAGCTGATTGGAGAAGAGGAAGACTTCTGGAGGAAGAAAACTGAGGGAAGATCTGGAGAATAAATATAATAAACATTTTCCAGTTATTTTATTGCAATGGACAGAATGTTTGTTACTGATTTATAAACATAGTATAGATTTTAAAATACAGATACAGCTTGATGGGTTAATTTCATCCAACTTGGAATAAAAAATATATCAAACATAAAAATACAGTAAAATAATTTAATAAACACCATTGTAAAGCACATGATGTTTAGTAATACCTGTTCTCCTCCCATAGCTCACATACTTCTTCAGCCACTCAGGACACGTCTGAGTTAAGTAGGTCTGCTCCTGGTTTGCAACATATCCGTCACTATCCCACCTGTTTTTGCTGATAACAGCCTGTGGTTTTGGAGCGATCCATGTCAGTGTCTCCAGGTCCAAAACAATGAAATCTTCTCCATCATAACCAATCTGATCATAACCTTTAACCTCTCCAGTCTCATCATCCCACTCACAGCCGTACATCTGCTGGTAGACGTGAACTCCTGAGACAAAGAGACAGAGTTTGATCAACAGTAATGACTAGAATATGATCTATTAACGCACACACTCCACCCTAAAAAAGTGTATTTCACTGTAAATATAAACAAAACCTTTAAGCAAACTGACAGATGCTTTTAGCAAAAAGACAAACTTTGTATTGATATTCACTGAAAGACTATGAATAATCAACTGTTTGTAGGTTTTAGCTGGACAATGGCAACAAAAAATAAATCATTTGTTATTTTCATTTTAAAATTTTAAATTAAATAGATATTTAGACATCAATTGGAATAGAAACTGTTTTAATGGTAGATTTTTATTAAATGAGGGGATGCTGAAAAGGATTTTAATGCACTGAAATTTGTCTCATTAGATACAAAAAAAATATTCAATAATAATCAGTAATCATTGTCATGGCTTTGTGCAAAAATATGTGTTACACTTTACAAATAATAAAGGTTAAAGAACAGGTAACAGAAAGTGAATCATTAACAAACCTCCAGTTTGATGGAATCATTGTTTTGCAATTTTTATGTTGGCTTTAAAGACTTGCTGTTTTCCCAGACATGTCTTAGTTTCCTCTTCCCAGAAGGTTGGATTTTCTAAACTCATGTTATTCATCCATTCCTGTTTAGGAATGTTGTTCTGGGTTAAACTGTCACAGTAACTGATCTGAACATCATCCACCAACCCAACAGACACGTATGAAGGGAAGTTTGGGACTCCAGAAGATGCTGTGTAGAAATACCTCAGAGAGTGGATCACTGGGAGGAAAAGCAAAGAGATGAATGATTTACCATCATCATTCTGTCATTTATCACATCTAACCTAAGACAAGAGGCTACATTAGATTTTGACTCAAAAAGATACTGAGCACATTTGTGATTATCTGTCCAAGAATCAATGCCAGACTGTCTAATAGCAGCCAGATCTACAAAAATGACACCTGACCTTTCAACATGTAGAACATCTTTGCTCAGTTGTCTGTTTGCATTTCTTTATACCTCCATAGATCTAATTTGGATTTTAGAGCAGAACCCCAGAACTCACCAATTTTAACCCATTTTATTTCATTTAATTATTCTAAAACTTTTATTGCACCAACAGCAAGTTGTAGGTGTGTAAGTATGAAAAAAGATCACTCTGAAAAACAGCCTTTTAATTAAAATTGTTTTTCTTATGTCTTAGTCTGAATGGATTTTCTTTCTGTGAGTTAGAACTGAGCTGGGCGGGTATCAAACTGGTCTGTTTTGCATGTCTTTCTTTTTCTTTTCTTTATGCATTCAAGGTTACTACAAGTATACCATATATTAGTGATGGGTCCAGCAACACCGATGTCGTCACATGAGTTGAGCTCTTACAGCAAAACCCGGTAAGTGCACCCACTGTTTCAAGAAAGTCATGTGACTTTTTTGAAAAAACTTTATTAGAAAATGTATATATACAAAAAGCAATAAGTACAATTTGTAATTGAACAAATATAGTAATAATAATTGAGAAATAACAAAATAAAAGCAAAAATAGTAACAGTAATAAAGTAAAGTAACACATAGAATCGTGAAAAGGAATTACATCAATACTTTGAATTTAGAGCATAAAGATAAATAGATTCAATAGCCTTTTTGTTATTGGAGGAGGACAATTTAGAAAAAAAAAGTTGTTGCTTCCTTTAAAAAAGAGATACATGAGAGTTTATTCATAATAGTTTTACATTTTTGCATATAAAACCTGGCAAGTGGCAAAAGATTACATGAGAAGAAATGGTCAGAAAGTTATTTTTTATTTCGTGATCCCAAATAAAACATCCTTAAAATAAAGTTACATTTTGTCATACATATTGTCCATTATGAAGTGATAAATACCTTGCCACAGACACCTGGAGTACTCACAGGACTAAAAAAGGGTGAGAGATAGACTCTGAGCAAATGTTCAGTCATGTGACCGATGCAGAAGCTGTTTTGAACTGACTGACGTACTAAAATGTGTTTCTAAGCCTATCAGTCAACGCAACGCATCTATTAAAACAAAAAAGAAACTCTGATCTTTTGTGATTTATCATCAAATTAATCAAGAAATATGGAGCAGCCTCAAGGCAAAATAAAGGTTTCAGCCAAGTGGGATTATTTTGATCTCCTATTTGTTTTAATTTTCTTGTTTTGTCGTCCTGTTCCTCTCAGTTATCACTGAATTTATCTGAATTCAAACTGATTTCAAATTTAAAATAAATAAATAAATCCTAGTCCACAAGCATCCTTATTCACATGTTCACTTAAATGTTCATGTTCACATTATTTATGGATTGCATCTATCAAACATATTTTCAATTTGAAAAAAGATATGAAATAAAACAATATAGCAAACAATGTCTTAAATCCTATTATAGGTCATCAAATCAGTGTTTAGTCTGTCAGATTTTGCCTGTAGTGATTTTAAATGTCCAGCAGGTGTCAGTATTCAATAACAATATCAACACAGCATCACTACAGTTCCAGAACCACTGATTGCTTGTAGTTTGACAAAGAGTAGAAACGCTTCAATGAGAAACTGCTCCATCTCTGACTCCATGGATGTAACTTTGCTTGTCTGTGCATAGTGTATTTATATTAATAAATAAATAAATAAATCTAAAAATGTATGTGGCTGTATGTTCTTGTAAATGATGATTTTTAACCCCTATAATTTTTGAAATATGCTGAATCATGTTGCAAAAGTGGTATTTATAAGGTCTACATATCTATGCAACAAATTAAATAAATAAATGAACTAATTAAAGCCCGTTTTATATGTTCTAGCAGAGAGCTGGCTGAACCAAAAAGACTTACCCTACATAAATTGCATTAAGTGAAATGATTACATTCGCTAAAGCAAAAACAATCCGAGGCATTTTCTTTATTTATAAACGATCCGTTTTTAGAAATGAGAGTTAGATCTTTAGACACTACAGACACTGCGATCAAAAGCGCGTTTTTAGAGCAAACATACATTTCTATAACTCACCTGATATCGCAGTTTGCATTTCCTGAAAAACCAGAAAAAATGACATAATTCTCATTTGAGCATTTTCTGTCCACATCTTTATCCACTCAAAAAATGTCCACGAGTGAAACTAGAGTAACTCTGCTCCACGCAGCTTCAACCCTTTTGAAGAGGAAGAGATTGAAGCGCCGTTATAAGGTCTGAAGCTCTCCCCAGTTATGCTTTTTTTTTTCTCCAATTAACTTTATTGAAAAAAGTTGTATAAACAATGGTACAACAGACAGGCGCTATAAGAAGAAATAAAGGAATAAAAAGTAAACACATCATTCTTTGACAAACTTCTCATAAATATCTCTGGATGTGGTGCTTTTTTAACAGTCAATTAGTATTAAGGAGTTAATTTACTAATATAAGCAACTTCTCATGTTGGGAGAAGTTTTGGAATATTTACATTTGTCCATGAAAAGGATAACTTTAATATCCCCATGGCCAAAATACAAAATTACACTCCTACAGTCAATTACGATGTTTATCTTCATTTTAGACATTGTGAACTGTTCAAATTAAGCCCAGAAGAATAGATTGGGCATAGTTTGAATAAAGGAGATCAGGTCTCTGGTTTTTAAAGCTGCATTTATTTGCAGAATCATAAAATTTAGAAAAATAAAAAAAATTCTGATTTACAGTGTGTTAATTTAGCTGTGAGCCTCTCTTATCTTATTGGAAATATTATACTTATAAGGCATCAACCAGGTCTTTTTTAGTCAGTATCCATAAAGTTGTAATCCCAAAATGCTTTCCTTCTTGGATTAATTCTCCTCTTTTTATAAAAAGTATTTCGGGTATATGTTTGTTGTTATATTTTGAATACATTACATTACACCCTTATTAAATCATCAAAGAGGTTTCTAGAATGTCTTTCTTTCATCTGTGGAATATTGCAAAAATATAGAAATATCTTAATCTTATTCTTAATCTTATTCTTTACTATCAGGAAGTCCTCAAACTGTAGTTAAAGCCTTCAGCTGATCCAAAATGCTGCAGCCAGAGTTCTGATGAAAGTTAAAAATAGAGATCATATCTCAATGATGGAACCTTCCAGATGACTGTCTGACATAGATCTGTCCTCTGTTACCAACCTGCTTAGAGCCAATCACACAGTTTTATTTCCTTATTTAATCAGCAGAGTTCTGTCATATTTTTGTATGACAATTAAAGAAAATCTCTAGGTCTGTTAGACATAATAGGTGTCACATATTTCAACATAGCATGTCCTTTTGATTAGGATTAAACAATGAGCATAATTTTTGGGGGGAGAATTAAATATACATATGTAGAGGATTCAAATACTGGTTATAGATGTCTTTTTATATTTAGAAAGGATTATCAGCGCTATCTCTTCACCTCACAATCGATCACAGAAATCAACGACCTTATCTGTCCTCCTGTTTGCAGAATCACACAGACTAGGGATTTAACAGAACTTCATAAAACATTGATGTGAGATAAGAGCATTATAGAGAGAGCATTATACTGCACATTCAAACAGCCACTTAGTATTTACTGTGTAGTTTGAGATAGGATTATATATAATGAACAGAATCTGAGGACCCAGAATGCAGCCTGAATACAGAGTATAACGGTTTAACAGTTTATTAAATAGAAAACTGCAGCAGGACATAAAAGAGGTGACTGCAGCTGGATCTTTCAACCTCTGTAGTGAGAGAGGAAATATTAATGACCAGGAAATGACCGATGGAATGAAGTCAGACTGAATTCTGGGTCACAGACCTGGCAAGCATTTGTATCCAAATACAAAATCACCGGTGTCGCCAGTCAGTGTGTGATATTACAGATGCTTGTTCAGAAGTTAGGCCTGGACATCTCCAGAGAATCCTTCTGTGTTTGTTAAAGGTATGTCCAGGTAAGCAAAAGGGGTCAAAATTGTAAGAGCAAAATTATGCAGGAATAGCAAAAGGGTAAACCAGAGTGCCAGATCCATGTGCAGGTCCAGGGTCCATGCCAGGTTATCCAATTTCCAGAGAGAATCCAAAGGGCTACTAAAGGGAGCATCAGGGCACAATTCCATGACCAGTAACGGGCAGGCTTTCAGATCAGAGAGGTCTCAGGCAGGCTCTGGTAATCGATTAAAAAGACAGGTAAGGCAAACAGGCAGGAAGTCAGGTGTTAAAATGCTGGCATGGATCTCACCAGGTGGCTCAAAATAATCTGGCACTAATGTCTGGTCTGAAGGGTGATTATACAGTATACTGATTGGTGCAGGTGGATCAACGAAAATGGGGCGGAGCTGAGCAAGTGTGTCTTGTGAGGAATCAGACAGGCTTAGTGCCGAGATCATGACATTAAATGAGGAGGAACCCAATGAGATGATGCACAGCTCCTACCTGCTTTTTTTATAGTCCATTTTCATCTGCTGACATGTGAAGTTCTCCTCTGTGAGATTGCGCCAAACTATAATACATTTAAAAAATACCATTCAACTAGTAAACTATAGTTGCAACATCTGAAATGACAAAATAGTTTGCTGTATAGAATCATGTGGCAAAGCTACTCAACTCAGTCTTCCACCTACATGGATGACTTCTTCTTGCAAGACTGGATTAACCATGCAACAGCGTACTGTAACTTTGCCAGAGAGGAAAGTGTTTCATCAGCCTATCTACAGTATTGCATCCCATTGTTCTTGAACAAAAGTCAGATAACCTGAAGTGATTGTTTTGATTTTCGGGTCATCAAAGTCAACCATCAAGGGATCTGGCTTCTTGGGGCATTGATCTTGTGGTCTGAATAAGAATTGTGGTCCTGATATCCAGTTTTTGTATTTTCACTTGAACTCTCTGTTCTCCACAGACATGATCAGCTGGATTAATGGGGATACTGATATTTCTCCATTGGGATGTTTTAGTATCCTCTCAGATTTTTTAAACTCTGTAGACAACAAACTTTTTGAATCTTGTACTCTCACTGTTTCATTATTTTAGCACTGCAGTGCTATCGGTCCAAAACACACAGTCACTAAGCTCCAACTTCAGCTCTTTTCTGAGAATCCTGTCCATTTTAACTGCTAATGTGACTGCAGTCAGTTCCATTCTTGGAATAGTTGGAGCTTTAAGTGGTGCAAACCTTGTCTTAGCCATCATCAGAATGATTTGAGCATCTCTTTAATCATTGCGCAGTAGCAGATAACTTGCTGTTCCCCAGGTATCTTCGCTAGCATCAGCAAAGGAATGTCGCTGTGCAAAGACTGAAGAACCAAACAGTTTTTTCTATGAAACATCTTGAAACTCCAAAATTTCTAAGAAGTTGCAGACTTTCAACCCATTGTTTAAAGTTTTTTACAATGTTCTCTGGAAGATTTACATCGCATTCATATTCCTCTCATAACAGATTCTCAATGATTATTTTGACAGGCAGTACCACAGGAGCAATAAATCCCAAACAATCAAAAACTAAGCTAATCAGGGACAGCTGGCCTCTTCTGGTGTGCGATTTAATTTTGATATTGATGTTGAATTTAAATGGATCATTCTTTAGTGCACCATTTGATTCCTACTGCCTTCTCCATTGGCAAATTGTCCATATTCAGGTCCAAGTCCTGAGAAACTGGCACTTTTTCCTCTTCAGGAATAGCATATGGCAACCAGACCATTTTGTTAGTAAAAAATCCACCTTTTGCCAGCATACATCTCAAGTCTCGCAAAGTCAGACTGCAGTGCCTTCGTCAACAGTGGATTTAAGACAGTCACCCACATAAAATAATTCATTCTTTTTACTTTTTAAATGTTTTAGCTGCTCCTTGACATAACTCCTCTTCAAAATTTGTTTGCAATGTTTGGTGAAGAGGTAGCTCAAAAGATGTGGACATCTTGTGTTCTATGAACAGAGAAACCGGAGAAGGTCTTATCTTCACTGCTGACTCTAACTTGGCCACCTCCTCCTGTCCTTCAGAACATGATGAATTGATGAAATGAATAGAGTCTGGTGTGCTATTGCTTGTTTGACACCTGTGCTTTACATCCTCCAGGTGTGGCTAAAAAATAAAATCCTCCTGACACGAAATATATTCTCTTTAGCCACAGGAATTTTTGCCTGTGAAAATAGCTTTGGAACCTGTATACAGTATACCGATCACCATACAGGCTGCTGATTTCAAGTCCACTGACAACAGAGGTGTTTACAAGTGAATATTTTCCCATTGTGCTCAGTAAAATGCTTGTATTGCGCCCTCTTACAAATATCTTATTTATGAATGGCTTTGTGGCAAAAGTGGCAGAACTACCTGAATCCAAAAAGGCATAAGTAGTTATTTCTTCTTTTCCCTTTTGTGACTCAACACGAACTGGGATAATGGACAAAAAAGAAATCCTTACCAGCCCCAGTATCTCTGACATTTTCACTCATCTGGACAAGAGCAATAGATATTGTTTGCCTTTTCCAACTTTCTGTTGTTACTTCTTGGCCTTAGTCTTTATGAGTAATATGTAACAGAGTAGGATGCTGTGGTGAACATTCTTGCCATTGAGCTTTTTCCTTGCAGTTGTTACTCATGTGGCCATGTTTTTAAGCAGCCAAAATAGTTCCTTACTTTAAAAAAGATTCTATCTTCTCTGAGTATGCTTTACTCTTTAGTTTTCAGTAGGATAAAATAGTGTGTTACTCTCCTTTACAGGTAGAGTGTCTGGGTCTTCTGTCTCTAATATTTGCAGCTGTCTGTAGCAACTCTGTTTTCACCTTTAGGATGAAAGGCTGTTGTTCTGAATACCCTTTTTGATTAAACTATTTCTGAACGTTACTCCTTTAATTTCTGTTTTGCAGGTTTCTTTGCTTCACCTTTAATATTCACTTACAATAGGTAAAGCATATACTTAATTTGCTTATTGACAAAGTCAACAAATTCCTTAAATTATACCCTTTTCTTGCAAGTTAGAAGCTTTCTTTCTCTGTGTTTTTCTGAGCTTGTATGGAAGATGTTAATTGTGTTATCCAAATCTTCAATGTAGTTAATATCTGCCATGGCATTGAAGTAACCTGTCAGAAATAATGCAAATGTTTTTTATGCAGCACCATCATTAGGTTTAGTTGTCTGCCAAATAGGTAGTTAATGTGTATATATGCTTCAACTATTTTATAACCTTTTATAACAATAACTTACTGAAGGTTCTACGTGGAGGCAGTTTTTTACTAGGTTATGTGGTTTTCCACCTGTTTGCAGCAAAAACTGAAGACAATCTGAATCATTGTCGGTTTCACCTTCAGTTCCATGCCCAATAGGTCTGATCTACTGTAGTCTAGTGCACATGACCCATGTATGGAGGCCTTAGTCCTTGATGCAGCCAACCTGGGTTCGAAACTGGCCTGTGGTCCTTTGCCGCATGTCTCTTCCTCTCTTATATCCCCTTTCCTGTCAGCATTCTGTAAAAACAAAAACAAAAAAAACACAAAAAAAGAAATGCTTCCCCTTTGTGATTCATGCCAGATGCGTTTTGTTTGCCATTTCAGAATGTTTTAAATGTTCTCCTTATCCACTCTCCTCACATTTCAAGAAAAACAAGTTGATTGTCGTCATTCTAGGATTAAAACAGCTCTTTTGATCACTCAAAAACTCTTCCTCAGTCATGAAATGCATTAAGCCTATACGTTCAGGTCAGAAAACTCTTTTTGCAGTTGGCTGAAGTCAACAGGCCATCATCTTCAACGGGCTATTTTTACTCTATCAGCATATTAATAATTGTCCATTAACTGCTATTTTGTTTGTTTCATTGTAGTTAACTGGAATAACTGGTATCTGCAAACTGGGATTTGTTTTTCCTTCCACAGGCTTTTCAGTCATCCCTATTTTCCTCTTTCCAATATCCTGTTCATCCATTACCAGCAAACTATCCACATATTAAATCAAGTATGAAGCAGTTGAAATCCACTCCACCTGTCAGTCCTCACAAGTTAGCAATTAGCTAAAACACCCACCTTGTGACAAACTTTGTTAGCAGCTATCAATCAACAGAAGCTTTCTGTCATTCATCCTTTCCAGCATTGCTAAAAAAAAAAAAATTCAATCTATCTTCTTAAGTCCAGAATCAATATGAAGCTATTTTTTTATAAAAAAAATGTAGATCCTTATTAAGTGAAACCTGAGCATGACGTTCCCACTACTTCCAACATAGTTGTTCAGAACAAAAAAAATGACTCTTGCTTTGAAATATTTACTTAATGACTAAAAATGTACCGAAGTGTAAAAGAGAGAGGGAGGTCAGAAACTGCATCCCTCTCTTTCTAGTTTGTGTATAACTTTGCCCCTTTTCTGATAAATCCACGGCCCAATCCACATTAGCAGACTAAATAAACATACTAACAACGTCAAATCCAACAAAGATCCTACATAACACATAGTTTAGGCTCCTATAATCATAATTATTGATCCCAACGTCTTCCATTGAGAGCTGAGCTCTGAAGGCTATATTTAAAAAAAGCCCTAAATGTCTGTCTTCTATGTGATTTTTTAAAAGTTGAAATAATTTTGGTTGCAATGAGTTTTTTTCAAGGCCCCGCAATATTTTGTGGAGCTACTTTAGCAGCAATAACAGCAGCAGCAATAGTATTTGTGTTCATACTCACGCATCTTCAGAGACCATGTCTGATACTTTTTCTAATACAGTATTTGATCAGACAGTGAAGGCTCAGTCTGGTAGATGGAGAACATCTGGGAACAACACATTTCAACTCTTGCCTCAGGTTTTTCTTTGTATTTAGTTATGAACTTTAACTGGGTCATGCTTAAACCATGAAAATGCTTTGATCTAAATAACTCTATTGTTGCTCTGGCTGCTAATCACTGTAAAGGTGTTGCTCTGCTTGGAGGTGAACCTCAAGCCTCATAAAGCTTTTTGATATAGCAGTAAAATGTGTCACTATACAATCCTTTTATATCACTTGATAGTTATTAATTTATTTGGAAAAATAGCTAAATCTAGAGCTCTTTTCCCACAAGATAAGCAGTATCTAAGGACCATATAAAAATACATTTATCCCCCACACCTGCTTTTTATGTAGTGCATCAGCACTGGATAACTGAAGCCTGAGAAATTTACAGACAGCTCCTGGATATGATGTTAAAGCGCGGTGTGTTGGTTAACACCTTCTCAGTGTTGAATGTTGCTAGAAGCACTAAACCAGCTGCAGTGCAATGCATGATGGAATCCCCCTGTTACCAGGGGCCTCATCTAAGTACAAAAAAAAACGTGGTACAGTATTTAACGCACAACTCAGGATGTATAAAAACAAATTTTTTGTGGAAGTGTTCGGGAATATTAAATAATATAACTGTTACTATTTAAATATTTATAATTACTTTAGCTTCCAACTACACAGCTTAGAAACTCATCTTTCTTATACAGCCACCCTACAACTGACTGAAGAACTCGCAATCTGCTCATTTTAATGGCTGGAACCAAAACAGTTCTGAACATTTGCACAGCAATTTTTGTAGACCATCCGCAACCCACCAACTGTTTTCACTTAGACGAAAATTGCATCTGAAATTTAGCACTTATTTTGAGTCTTTGAAGATCAGGTCCTAATTGTAGCCTACTTCATACCGTATATTTGTAAGGTCACAGCTGGGTTTCTTTTTCTGCAAGTTGGAATGTCTAAAGAAAAGGTGTGCAGTAACAAGTCTACACATTGTTTTATGCACATTACAATCTAACACTTCCATGTTTGTGGTACAAATCAGATCAGTTCAAGAGGCTGCATATTTAAGAAAAAAGAGAAATCGATAAAGCAGAGTTAAGTGCAGCTGGAATTCAGCAGTGTAATACTGTAGCTACAGGATAGCTTATTGACACACAGTGAAGCAGATGCAGATAATACTGTTGGGCTATAAGCCATAATGATAACTTTGGACACGGAGGACCAATGTTTATGGTGACATAACCATTGGGGTGAAGAATGAAGGTTTGCCTCCCATACCGCTGCAGAGCCCCCTCCCGCAAGACAAGATCACACAACACTCGTGCAGGCATGCATTCCTTTAACCCATGGTTTATGAGGACTGAAAACACCACACAGGATTTCTTTCTCTTTCTGTGAAGCTGTGCTGGTGTAGTTCCCCACTCATCCAGGTTATACTCATTCCAAAAAAGTAAAACATTTTCAATGGACTTTGTTTCCAAGTTTGAAGTTGTTTTGCTTTGCATCCAGAAAGCTTTTTCAATTTAAAATGTCAGAAATAGCGTGGAATTTCGAGGACAAATATAAGCCAAAACAAGGCTTTGTTTTTGGTCCACTCTATAAAGTCATCTTCAAACGTGGAAACAAAGTCCAGGGCACTGATTTTGGAAAGCTGTCCTGGGTTTCGCAAATAAAAATAATGGAATATTAGTTTATTTTAAAATTGAATTACATAGTTCTGTTGCTATAAATGCTGAAAGTCAGGGTCACTGATGGCACATATTCTAGTTTAATTTTTATTTTTATTTCTTTCCCAATAGCTAGTGTTTCTTTTATCTACACTGGGTATAAATCAACTGCCAGGGGCAACAGCTTCCCTTTTATCCTCCATCCAGCTATGAGGAGATTGAGACATTTAAACTGTAAAATGTTGCATTTTCAGATCTGACCCACCTTAAACACAGGCTGTAGTAAAGACAGAAGGCCCCTGGGACACCTCCACACCCAGAGGACACCTCTTGTGTCCAAACCAGGGCTCTTACTCTAGTGAGTAAATGAACCGTCTGTATTTTGAAACAAAAAAATGAATCTAATTAAATTCAGGTTCAACTCAAACGTTTACAAAAACATTTCTCACATGAAAGAAAGATAGAAAATAAATGCTGGTGGGATGGAAGACAATGCCTGCCCTGGAGGTTTAAAGGCTTTAGCAACCTTAGTACCAACAAACAAAGTGTGCAGAAAGTTAAAACAATGCAACATGATAATCACATTTTGACTGTTCTGCAAAGAACCGCACATAACAGGAACTGCAACAAAACCACATTCAGCTCCTAACCTTAAGGGGTACCTTTCTGCCCCCTGGTGAAAAAAAAACAAAAAACAGAAACCCTCACCTTTGAGCCCCCCAAAGATTATTTAAACCCTTTATCCGTCTTTATCTCTGAGGCTGTGTCCAACATTCTAAACTGAGGAAACTAATAAAACATGTTTGGACCAAAGTGACATTTTTTGGCTTTGTACCTTCTTTCCACTATTTTAAAGTTTTTTTTCTTCTATCAATTAGAAGCTACAACAAATAACTGTCTGCCCTGGATATTTCAAAGATTTCTTTGTCGCTCAGTTTGGAGTGGCACTCCGGTAGGGTGAAATTTCCATTTTGGTACAATGCATTAAACAAAAGACAAAACACACAGAAATAAAGACAATACACAGACACTGGGGGACCAGGTGTCCAAGACCTTGCTGCCCTAGACAGGCGCTGCCCTTGCAGTTAGAAAAAAGTAAAGAAATGGATACGCTGGTGAAGATTGTCAGTCATCGAGGTAATAGTCATTCCAAAAAAAAGAAAATTAAAAACAATGGACTTTGTTCCCAAGTTTAAAGACGTTTTGCTTCCCATCCAAGAAGCTTTTTCAATTAAAAATGTCAGGGATAGTGTCGAGTTTAAGGTTTTATACAATATCCTAACAAAGCCTTGTTTTTGTTTTGTTGAAAAAAAACATGCGATATTCAGAAATACTCTAGTGAATCAGCTGTAGTGGCCTGCATGAAGGGTTTGGATAAATCAGAGTACAGAGCAGGGATCCATGAGTTCTTCTCCACATATTAGTACTCCGGCGTCACTTTGACAATAAGGTTTTGACAATAAGTTGGACTGTTTGGTGCAGGCAAATGCGGCATACAAAAAGGGACAAAGTAGACATAACTTCTTCAGACAACTTAAGTCGTTGATGTGTGTAGGGACATACTTTTTAGGGACTGCAACAGTGATGGAGAGGGAGACAGTTCCTATGGAGGAACTGGTGGAAAAAAGAACTAGAGCAATGATGAAGTCCATAAGGGCCAATGGAGCCATCCATTGCACAGCACTGGTGGCTCAGGAAAACAGCCATAGTTTGAGACTGATATCTGTGAGATGCAGAACAGAGAAGTACAGAAGATCTTTTGTCCTGGCTGCCATTAGACAGTTTAATGCCTCTTGAAGGACTGAGTGTTTTTATATTATTATTTATTTTATGTATAGTTTTTAATTCTGCGTTGTTGTTTTTTATACTATGTTATATGTTTTTATCTTCTGCTATCAGGCAGGCAAATTTCGAGAAGCATCCCGCTGCAGCCTGCGGGAAGGCTTGATGTCAAGCCCCGCCCACATCAAGGACAGCCATATTGGAAATGCTGACGTACCAGGGCAGGGAAGCACGTAGACATATAAGAAGATATATATAAAGATATATGTAAAGATATGTTTTCATCTTAATTGTGAAAAGTTATCCCTCGAGCCCTGACGTCAATAGTCCGTAAATTTAAACAAAAAATACGCCGCACAGTGCTGAGGCATCATTAGTGTGTTCAGCTTGAATCAGCTGGTTTGAGTAGCAGGTCGACCGCCCCAATATGGCGGCCGTAATTCCTGCGCCGCGATAGCCAATGCGGGGTCTACTGATATTATATTATTATTTGAACTTCAGCACTGCTTTTCTTAATCAACGCTGGAGATAGGCACGAGCAACCCCCGCGACCCCATGAGGGATTAAGCGGGTCAGAAATTTGATGGATAGATTTTTTCTTAATCTGCGATGGACTGGGAATCTGTCCAGAATCCACTGCACCAGCCCTAACGACACCACTATAGGGATAAGTGTGCTTGTATGATAATTATTGGATAGATAAATGTGTCCTCAATGTAATGTACATTTGTCTCTTCATAATAATTCCTTATTGTTGTTTATTTTAGACTGTTTGTTACTAATGTTATTTTAACATCTGAAAATTTAATAAAGATTTAAAAATAAAAAGGACATACCACGTGAAAGCGCCAGCGCCTATAGTCAAGAGCGGTCAGCGTTTCCAATATGGCTGTCCTTGATGTGGGCGGGGCCCTGCCTTCCCGCAGGCTGCAGCGGGATGTACTTGCAAATTTCCCCTATCTGGGATATATAAAGTATCTATCTATCTATCTATCTATCTATCTATCTATCTATCTATCTATCTATCTATCTATCTATCTGTCTGTCTGTCTGTCTGTCTGTCTGTCTGTCTGTCTGTCTGTCTGTCTGTCTGTCTGTCTGTCTGTCTGTCTGTCTGTCTGTCTGTCTGTCTATCTATCTATCTATCTATCTATCTCTGTCTGTCTAGATAAACCACAACAAAAGTTTAAAAAAAATGGAAAAAACTTTTATCCAACACTTTTTGTTGATAACATAACTTAACAGGACAGTTCACTTTCAGTTTCAACAGCAACCTGTTGAAACTGAACCGTTTGAATAGCCTAGTAGCGAGTGACATCACGTCGCTGTCAAGGTTTTTTCATTGGCTCAGAACAACATTGGTCAGAAACTCCTCTACTTCCCTTTTCAGCAGGGCGATGAACTAGGATTTAGACTGGAAAACAAAATGTGAGAGCAAGACATGTCTGAAGTGTGGATATTAACCATTTATATTCTGCTCGTAATACAGCGAGCATGGGCAGGTGAGTGAGAAATACATTTTAATTTGAAATTGTTCCTAGTTTTACAAGGAACAATTTATGTAGTTGTGGATATCCATATTTGCCGTTTTTATGGCAGGCCATTTTGACATTTATTAGCTTGACTGAATTTATATTCCAGATGTCTCAAATACATTTCTTCGTAGTCAAAATGAACATTTCCGATATCTAAAATAACATTCCTCCGATCTAAAATAAACATTTCAGATATCTGAAATGTAATTCTTACTAGGACAAATGACGTCACTTTTTGTATTCCTGTGTATTGGGCTTTTACTTTCAGATATCTAAAATAACATTCTTCCAAACTAAAATAAACATTCTTCCTATCTAAACTGAATTGCAACTAGGATGATAATCTCAGCTCTCCATAATAGAGTTACTGCTAGTCATAATTAGTATTTCGGATATCAAAAATTAATATAACGTTACAGATTTCTAGAAATGTTCATTTTTGATAGGAGGAATATGTACTATTAAATATATCTGAAATACAAACAAATATATGTTAAAACGGCCACCATAAATAAGTAAAGATTTGTAGATATCTGAGATTTAGTTCTTACTAGTACAAATTTGATTCCAGAGTAATTAAAATTTAACTTCTACTGGTAGAAATGTAATTAGAAATATCTAAAATACAATTCTGTCTAGAAGTATTATAACTGTGACTAGGTAGAATGCTTTAGTGCTATCTATAATAGAAATGTGATAAAAGTGTGAGTCAGCCTGCATATTTTATGCTAAAACGGCGCCCCATTTCTGTTTTGCATGTTAGTCAAAATATGTTAAGTATGTAAAACTGCATTTTGGATAGGCATTAATAAAATGTAGATATCTGAAATTTCAATTTAACTAGTCATATATCAATAGTTGATATCTGTAAATATATTTCTACTATTAGAAATATATTTTAGATATCAAGAATTGAATTTCTGGATATCTGTAATGTTATATTATTTTTGGATATCTAAAATAGTAATTACGACTAGCAGTTACTCTTATGAAAAATAAAATTAGAATTTATCCTTATCAGAATTCATTTTTAGATAGGAAGAATGTTTGTTTTAGATAGGAAGATTGTAATTTTATATATACGAAATGTTAATTCTGACTAGTAAGAAATGCATTTGAGACATCTGAAATATATATTCAGTCAAGCTAATGAATGTAAAAAGGGCCACTTAAAATTTCTAAAGATTTCTTTCTAGGTATTTGAAAGTTTATTCTTACTAGTACAATTATATGTTTGGCAACCTGAAATGTAATTTTTGCTAGGAAAAATGTAATTTAGGATATCTATATGTACATTTCTGTCTAATAGAAAAGGTTTGACTAGGAAGCATTTTATTTTAGAGATCAACAAATGGAACAACAGAGAGGGCAGCACTTCTAATAAATGTCAAAATGGCCTGCCATACTTTCTTCCTATCTGAATTAGAACTGACAACTTTTATGTAAGTGATTATAGATGCAATGTATGGATACGTATGATTTCGCCATTTTGGAGCACCTCACCCAGGAAGTTGTTATTCCAGCTTCCTAACACCAACGTAATATTTGTCTCTCTGGACTTAATAAAATGTAGGCAGACATGGTCACAACTTCTGCTTTTGACAGACTTTTTGGGGAAGCTTCTCGGGCAAGACGCTGTCTGTCTCAAATCCCGTGGCTGTGGATAAACTAATTTTCTTTACTTTCGATTCCGGCATTAGATTATCACCAAGCGCCATTACTGCTTTCAGATCTTCGGAGAGGAGCTAAATATATTAAACAGAATGTCTTGAATTGAGGTTCCAAAGCCTTAAACTATGTAAGATATGCTATTTTTAGTCATTGATTCTTGATCAGAAATAAAAATTATAACCAGTAACAACTGGATTAGAGAGATCTGAAATTCATTTTTAGACATGCATGATATTTATTTCAGATAGGAATAATGTCATTTCAGATATCTGAAAATAACTGCCCAATACATATCAATGGAGGAAAGCTAGATCATTTGTTCCTGTACGAATTACATTTCAAATAATAAAAATGTTTATTTTAGATAGGAGGAATATTATTAAAGATATCTCAAATACATATCCGGTCAACCAATTATACGTTAAAACGGCCACTAGTTAAGTAAAGGTTTGTAGATATCTGAAATGTAGTTCTTACTAGTACAAATTTGATTCCAGAGTACTTAAAATTTAATTGTACTGGTAGAAATGTAATTGGTGATATCTAAAATGCAATTCTGACAAGATGTATTGTAATTGTGACTAGGTCGAGTGCTTTAATGCTATCTATAATAGAAATGTAACTAGTCAGCCTGCATGTTTTATGTTAAAATGGAGTCCCATTATTCTTTTGAAAATTAATCTAAATATGATTGTAAGTATCTAAAACTGCATTTTGGATTGGCAATATTAAAATGTAGATATCTGAAAGTCCAATTTAACTAGTCATATAGCTGATATCTGTAATGATAGTTCTACTACTATTAATTATTACTTTTAATGTCAAGAATTGGATTTATGGATATCTAGAATGTTATATTTATTTTGGTATCTGAAATTGTCATTTTGACTTGTAATAACTGTATTATGGAGATCTAAAGTTGAATATCATCCTCTTCAGAATTCAGTTTTAGATTGGATGAATGTTTATTTTAGATGAGAAGAATGATATTTTATGTGTCTGAAATTTTCAGGAAGAAATACTTTTGAAACATCTGAAATATATATTCAATCAGGCTTAAAAATGCCAATACAGCCACTTTAAATTTAAAAAGAGTTTTAAGTTTCTCAAAGTTTATTCTTGCTAGTACAATCATATTTTTTGCATCCTGAAATGTAATTTTTTATGTAGGATATATATATTTAAAGTTCTGACTAGTAGGAATGTATTTTTGATCAGGAATAATCTTATTTTACAGATCAACAAATGAAACAAAAAACAGGACAGCACTTTTAAAAAATGTCAAAACGTTCTGCCATACAGTGAACGTCTGCAAATTGCAACACTGGAAGAAAATACACAAGAAAAAATGTAACAGTGTCACAAGACATTTTTGTACTGTCATCAGAATCCTCTTATGTGTATGCCATCTCAAGTTATCATCTTAAATTGCTGTTCCTACAACATTTTGAGGAATTTCCCAAAGCCTATATACCAAAATACTCAGTGAAGTCACTTTTGCTCCGTGTAGGATTTATTGAAAAAAACAATTTTCTCAATAAATCAAAGAGATCCTGATAAAGGAATTTCACTTTGATTAAGCTGTATCATTAAATAGATAATGCCTACACTAACATTTATTCTATCAATGGAAAAAAATATTAAACTAGCAATAAACCAAAGAGTATTGTAGAACTATAAAACTCAGAGCACATTTAAAATAACCCCTCTTGATCATAATACAGCTCTTAATTTAGAAAATAATTCTTACATTTATTTTTGGTCAATATGTTAGCCTTAAAATAGGTCTATAACTGAAATCTAAGGCATTGTTTTTCATCCCTGGTCCTCAAGGCACCCTGCCCTGCATGTTTTAGATGTTTCCCAGCTTCCACACACCTGCTATCAATTGATAGCAGATTATCAGGCTATGCTGAACTGCAATCATCTGAAGCAGGTGTGCTGAAGCTCAGAAACATCCAAAACATGCAGAGCAGGGTGCCATTTTCAACAGACCCATAGATAATCAGCGACCTAAAAGTTATCCTATCATTTTACACATCTAAAAGCACAGAATTATGGATTTAACTCACTTTTATGAAGACCATGAATTTAATGCACTCAAGGATCAAATTAAGAAACTAATTTTAAATGTATACACATTTAAAATAAAAAAAATGGTTTACAATATGAATTGCAGTTAACCATGATATTGTTTATTTTGTTAAAGATCAAAATGATAAGGGTCTGTGACTGTGATAAAGACTTTTTGCTGTAGTGAAAATAGAGAAAATGCTGCATATGAAACCAAATTCCACATATCAATAGCCAAGTGTAGTCTATACCTGAAACCAGTGGCAGCTGTCCAATAGAGCAGGCATCCCCAACCTTGGTCCTCGAGGCCCGCTGTCCTGCAGGTTTTAGAGGTTTCCTTGCTCCAGCACAGCTGATTTTAATTGAAAGCTGATTAACAGGCTTTTGGTCTACTCAGTCGTTATATTCAGCTGTGCTAAAGCAGGGAAACCTCTAAAACCTGCAGGACAGGGGGCCTCGAGGACCAAGGTTGGGGATGCCTGCAATAGAGGGCTCTAGGGCGCTGCTCCACCTACCCAATGAGCTTGATTAAGACACAAACATTTAAAAATTAAAGTATGAAGTTTAAATATTTCAAAATATATTCATGTTTTTTTTTAGATGTGAAAGATAAATATTTCATCATTAATGACGAGTAAAGCTGTTTCGTTCGTCCTCGGATTGGTGATGTATTTCCGCCCTATGGTGCCAAAATCTTTAGACTCTCGTTAAAAGTTGTACATGTGCAGTAGTGCCTCTGCAATACAAAAGTATAGGAGGGCTTGGGCGCAGGAGAGCTGTGCCCCTAGCTGACAGGAACTGTCGTCACAGTTGTAGGGCGGCTGAATGACAGGTCGAGTTGTGAAAGTAAAGTCCCTTAGAGCAAAGTTACCAACAGAAGCTGGCGGTGAAACCGTTTGGACATGATCAGCCAAAAATCTAAATTTAATCAGCAGTCCAAAGACAGATGGAGATGGTTCACTCAGTCTTTTTTCAGCACCTGGTTTAGCTACAAGGCTAGGCTAACTCCATGCAGCGAGGCTAAAACTTTATTCTACTTTCCCTTCATCAAACATGAGGATGTTAAAAGTTGTACATGCGCAGTAGCTCCTCTGCAATGCAAAAGGATAAGCAAGCTCTGGGCACAGCTCTTCTGTGCCCAGAGCTTGCTTGCAGGAATTGTCATCACAATCGTTGTGCGGGTCACAGACAGGTCGAGTTGTGGAAGTTGGAGACGATATTGGGTGAAAGAGAGAGAAATAGAGCAAGAAGAATTAAATTAAGTGATGTCCCTTAAAGCAAGTAAAGCTGTAGGTGAAATCGTTTGGACTTTTTAGAAAAGGCAAAGAAGAATGAGCAATCTAGGATTCACATGGAAAATAATATAATATAGTGTACTTTTTCAAGGTGATCAATAATTTGCACAATTGCTCTTAAATAAACACATTCTCAGAAAATAAATAGTTTTATATATTAAAAATTATAAAGCTGACAAATAACTTCTCCATTATTAAAGTAATTAAAGTAAACCTGTACATTAAATAATTTTTTGCTTTTTATAAATTGTTTTTATAATGTTTTTTGTTGCTGGCATTCATAGTGTATGAATATACTGGTCTGATAACTTAGTATACGTTTCACTGGTTTTAGGTATATGTCTATTTTGAATTTATAGCCCCCTGGAGAAAACTCCACTAGCTGCCACTGTCTAAAGCACTGAAGCCACATCCATCCATTTAACTGCTCTAGCTGCTAGTATGACGTTGGCTGCATTACCTGTAGTCAGACAGACTAGCTTCACCTCTTCTAAGCTCCAAGCTGCCATAAAGTCTTTCAGACCAGTAGGTATATTTTCTCCTGTGGGGCCTCGTGGCGAAAATGACCCTTGGAGATATTTTGAGTTGGTAATGGTGAAAAAGTCCTATGACAAAAGTTCATACAACATTTCATGTTTCTAGCAGGAAGGACAGTTCGTGCAAAATGACGCCTTGATGACAAAGTGTAGCATTTGCTAATGTATTCACACATACCTTTGGCCCGATAATGGGCAATAGACTCTGTGATATCTTTCAGTCTCTCCGATGTAGTAGAGTAGGGAGTCGCTGTCTAAAGGGATTCTGCCACAGAACACTGAGCTGGTGAAGGACTTTTTGTTTGTTCTCTCATCAGCTTGTCATAAACTATATGGTGATAGTTATCGAAATTATTAAAAACATTTGTCATGATGCGGGCTGCCATATGAGAGTGTTAGACTTCCTGTCAGTGTTTGTTCACCAAGTTTTTTTTATATTCATTCTACAGCACTCCTCGTTTAGCTCCACAGGCTAGCTTACTTTGAAAGGGCGGGATGAATCCGCTTGTATTCACATTACATCAGACAGGGCAGTCAACACTAATAAATTAAAAATAACCTTTTTAGATTCAGTATTATTTACCCGTCCTTCTCAAAATATTAGTATATTGTGATGAACTTCATTATTTTCCATAATATAATGATAAAACTTGAACATTCATGTATTTTAGCTTCATCTCACACTAACTGAAATATTTCAGGTCTATTGTTGACTTAATATGGATGATTTTGGCAAACAGCTCATGAGAACCCTAAATTCCTATCTCACAAAGTTAGCATATTTTATCCGACCAATAAAAGAAAAGTGTTCTTAATACAAAAAAGGTCAACCTTCAAATAATTATGTAAAGTTATGCACTCAATACTTGGTCGGGAATCCTTCTGCAGAAATGACTGCTTTAATGCGGCGTGGCATGGAGGCAATCAGCCTGTGGCACTGCTGAGGTGTTATGGAGGCCCAGGAGGCTTTCATAGCGGCCTTTAGCTCATCCAGAGTGTTGGGTCTTGCATCTCTCAACTTTCTCTTCACAATATCACACAGATTTTCAATGGGGTTCAGGTCAGGAGAGTTGGCAGGCCAATTGTGCACAGTGTCAGTAAACCATTTACCAGTGGTTTTGGCACTGTGAGCAGGTTCCAGGTCGTGCTGAAAAATTAAATCTTTATCTCCATACAGCTTTTCAGCAGATGGAAGCATGAAGTGCTCCAAAATCTCCGTATAGCTAGCTGCATTGACCCTGCCCTTGATAAAACACAGTGGACCAACACCAGCAGCTTACATGGTACCCCAGGCCATCACTGACTGTGGCTACTTAACTATGCACAAATTGAGTTTTTTTTTTCTGCACCTCTACGTATAATACAGTAAGCGAAATATATTTGTTGTGCTTCATCCATCCATCCATTATCCCAAGTGGGGTCGCGAGGGGTGCTGGTGCCTATCCCTAGCTGTCTACGGGCAAGCGGTGTGGTACGCCCTGGACAGGTCGCCAGTCCATTGCAGGGCAACACAGAAACAAACAGGACAAACAACCATTCACACACTCATTCACACCTAAGGGGACTGTAGAGAAGCCAGTTAACCTAACAGTCATGTTTTTGGACTGTGGTCGGAAGCCGGAGTACCCGGAGAGAACCCATGCATGCTCAGGCAGAACATGCAAACTCCATGCAGAAAGACCCCAGGCCGGGAATCGAACTCAAAGTCTGGCAGCAGTGCTACGCACTGTACCACTGAGCAGCCCATTATCTGTTGTGCTTGTAGCACCAAACAAAAATAATTATATTTTGTTATTTTAAAAACATACATTTCTAAAATGTTATATCAGTGGAGTTTCACAGACTTGACAAAAAGGATTTTCAGAGGAAGGTACTGGTATCTGCTGTGGGCTTTCTTTTATCTGAGGTTTTTATAATATTTATACAGATATTAGAATTGTTTCATATTGACTGAAATAAAAAAATATATAGTTTTTTTTAAGATTTTACCATATTGTTCAACAACAGAGGGATGGTGTTAAATCATCCAGCTCTTTGCTTTTCCTCACAGCGATCCACTCTCTGAAGTATTTCTACACGGCATCTTCTGGGATCCCAAACTTCCCTTCTTACGTGTCTGTTGGGTTGGTGGATGGAGTTCAGATCAGTTACTGTGACAGCAGAACCCAGAAAAACATTCCTAAACAGGAATGGATGAATGAAGTGAGTTCAGAACATCCACGTTACTGGGAGGAGGAAACTGGAACATGCTGGGAAAAACAACAAATCTTCAATGTCAACATAGACATTGCAAAACAACGATTCAACCAGACTGGAGGTTTGTTCATTATTGATTTTTTACATATCATATATTCTTTAATAATTGCTTTTTTTAAATTTAATTTAGGTTTTTGCACATATTCGTGTCAACAATTATTGTGCAAATAGTTTTAAGTGGTTGTCAACAGTTTTCATCATTAACACAAGTGTACCAAATATACACATGAGGGGGCGGAGGTCAAGCTGATGTCCACTTTTTTTAATGATGACCCTTCAGCTCATATTAATGCATATTTTACTGTACTTGAACATTAAAATTAATGTTTCATCATTTTTTTAAGATATATTTGTTTTGAACATGTTTGAACATGTTTTAATGTAGCAAGTTTTTCAGTAAGTTTTCAACAATGATTTTACATTAGAAAGTTCAATATATTCACAGATTATTAGTGCCATGCTATGAATAGCATTGGTTATGATCAACAGTTTTTGTTGTTTTGTTCACTTCTTAGAATGTGAACGATGCTCACTTTTGTGCCTCTGCAGTTCTTTCTTTCTTTCTCTAATCAGTATAGTCTTCTCCAGAGTCCTTCCATTTATTATTATTTTTGTTCATTTAACACGAACAGTGTACAAAATATATTAATCTGAAAAAGAAAAGGCGTCTTATACCAGAGTTTGCTACTGCTAATTTCTGTCATCCCCTGGAAGGTTCACACATTTAAAAACCCATTACAGAACAAACTACATGTCCCAACATACTAAGAAATACTGTAAATATAATATAATATAATATACTCACAGTCAGTGATCTTTACAGATTAGCTAGACTGATACTAACAAAGTTACTTTATTTATTTTTTTCCTTAAATTTATTTCATTAAATATTTGGGACATAAAGCCGTTATGTTTTATTTATATGTAGCCATTGTCCCATTGAACCTTCAAACACTTGGTAAAGTGACCATGTATTGTTTTTCTGGAAACAGAAATAGAAAGTTTGCTGCTAGTCACTGCTATTAATCAAACTCTGTCTCTTTGTCTCAGGAGTTCATGTCTATCAGCAGATGTACGGCTGTGAGTGGGATAATGAGACTGGAGAGGTTAAAGGTTATGATCAGATTGGTTATGATGGAGAAGATTTCATTGTTCTGGACCTGGAGACACTGACATGGATCGCTCCAGTACAACAGGCTGTCATCAGCAAAAATGAGTGGGATAATGATAAATATGCTGCAGATAATGAGAGTTTTTACTTAACTCAGACGTGTCCTGAGTGGCTGAAGAAGTATGTGAGCTACGGGAGGAGCTCTCTGATGAAAACAGGTATTACTAAACATCATGTGGTTTAAAAGAAAAAGCTACATTCCTGTATCCACTTTGTTCTGCATAAACACTATTAAGTCTCAGTAACTGTTTGCTGTTAATGTTAATATTTAGATTTTTTTGTAATAAAAAGAATGTTTATTTATCCTTTAGATCTTCCCTCAGTGTTCATCCTCCAGAAGTCTTCCTCCTCTCCAATCAGCTGCTTTGCTACAGGTTTCTACCCCAACAGAGCAGAAATGTTCTGGAGGAAAGATGGAGCAGAGATCCATGATGGTGTGGAGAAAGGAGAGATCCTTCCTAACAATGATGGAACCTTCCAGATGAACGTTGACCTGAAACTTCTATCATCTGAGGACTGGACACAATATGAATGTGTGTTTCAGCTCTCTGGTGTTGACAGAGACATCAACACTCGTCTGGAAAAGCCAAAGATCAGAACTAATGAAGGTAAGGCTTTAGTATTATAAATTAATTTTAAAAACAAAATATGTAGTTAAAACGTCATTTAATTTATTTACATTTGGTGTAATACTCAAGTTTGCCACTTTACATTGCTTTATTTATTTTTTCATTTATTTCATATTGGGAAAAACAGAAGAACAAAAAATTACTTCCAGGTGGAAGTAATTTTGTGCTCTTTACATCTCTCTTTGGGGTTAAACTAAAGTTGAAACAAAGGTCTTAAAAGGTTATAAACAGTCATCTAAAAGCCTTAAGAGGTCATAAAATCATCATTTTCCACCCTAGGTTTACTCATATCTTAGATTTGTTCACTTGTTTATATATTTATTTTTCCAGCTATCTTATCTTCAGTTTCTTATTCTACCTTTTTGCAGTTTTGGTAACATATTTATATATTGTTATATATTATTTCACACATTATTAAACTGACAGGCCTGTAATGCAGATCAGCAGGAGGAGGAAGCAGATTGTGTCCTGATATAAAGAAGATGGACATTTATTAATATAGCTTCTCCTATAAAAAAGATTAGTGGCTGAAACAGATTTACTCTTTGTCTGAGTCCAACATATGAACCTTTAGTTGGATCTCTACCATCTCCTCGGCAGCTACAGGTCAACATCTCCTCCATGATGGGAGCTCAGCCTAAATCAGATTTAATGGATGTGTTGAACAGAAATGAAAGATACATTTTTCTAACAAGACTGAAGCATTTACAGTGGATTAATGATGGAGCTCCTACAGTGCAGCTAAGGACAGAAATTAAAGTTGGAATATTTAAGTAACTGTGATTTTGACATTAGTTATAAGTTTACTGAACTCCAACAAATGGAAATGCATCCTGAATTCTTTTAACTTCATAATGGGGTTCATTGCTGGCTGTTTGTTTTCAGCAAAATAGAATTATTGTAGAAATAGATTGTTTCAAATTTAGTCATTTAAAAATCCAGAATTTTAAATAAATGTTATGTTTTTGATGTTTTGAGAAAATAAACATACAAAAGAGGTGCATGAGGTCTGGCAGCAAAGCCATTGATTCAACCTAAAAAAAAGATCAGCAGACCTGAAAATAGCTCTGATTTAGGCTAAAATAGGACCTGTCATCCCATCGATCAGAAGAATTTTATTTTTAGTCTATACAAAGAAGGAAGAGGGTGTTCCTCCATCAAATGAAATCTGCAGAAAGACAGAAACATTGCCCCCCTCCCTCCCCTGCCATTCTGAGCCCCCATTTTAACATCCAATCACCATGTAGGCTACTAATGAGCCCAGAACTAACCTAGCTGACTATGATGAGACACATTAGAGGATCAGAGCTGAAGGGGTTAAACTATGATGAAGCAGTGATGGCCTGTTAAAATCATCATAGTGATCCATGTTCTCATACACTTTATAAATAATAAACACAAACTAAACAGAAAAGTAGAAACTATTTTTTAACATCAGACAGTTGTCCTCATAGTTTTAATTAGCCTGTGGAAATGTTTAAGCCTTTATCTTTGAATCAACTTACCCCCTCCTCATTTTAACCAGTGAGGCAGAAAACAGATCCTTTTGAATATGTTTTTGCAAAAACTATAATGCTGCTGAAAACATTTCTTTAACCTGTTAAGCCCAAACATATCAGTTCTGGTCTGAATAGAACAAAACCCATTTTTACACTGTCTGTGGAAGGAGGTAAAACCCTCACAATACAATTAGGTAAATGGGTTTTGCACAATCATTTGTGTTTTTTAGAGCAATCTAAACATAGGAAGGACATTAAAAAATCTTTTATGCTCCAACTCAGTGAGAAAAACAGCATAGTAGAAAAGTCCTCTGCTTGCTGAAACCTGTCATGTTTGATATAGGATGAAATTAGAGAAACTAACACTTCAAACTCTGTAGGTAATCCTTACAGTACTTTTTTCAGAGAAGTACAGGAATTGGCTGCTCCTGTTCTTATTGTGCACAGAACTAAATGTGAACAGACTCTGAAATTCTGTTTTAGATTGGAAGTTCTGGAGCACTTCTAATTTTCTCCCAAGTCAACATTCATAAAGAAAGATAGATAATTATACCAGTTTCAGTGGTTTTTGGTCACATTTTTCATTGATAATTATTTTTGCACATTTGTTTACATTAATTTTGTTCAGGAAAATTCTTTTTTTTTGTAGACAAAAGGATACAAATCAGCTCATTTTATTTTTATTTTATATATGTTTTGTGGTCTGCACAATAGTACATTTTGATAACAAAGCGGGTAAATGCCGTTGCCAAAGGCTCTTTGTTATGCAGAATAATTCCTATAACGGAAGTCGACACTTTAATTAGACCAGATTTCTTTCATGAGGTGAAAAACTTATTTGTCATAATTTTGTTACGTTTGGCTAAATTGTGCTAAAATATCACTCCACCTGCCAAAATTCCCACTAAAACCTCTGAGAAGAACAAATGTGCTTTCACTAAATATATTGATTTATAAAATCTAAGGTTTTTCATGGTGTTTAAAACTATTTATTTAGAAAGAGCATATAAAGAGCGGTTTAATTATTCTGAGTTTATAATATATTTATTGGGGCTGAGGTTAAAAAATGTCTTTTTAATAACAAATAAATCAAAAATAGGAACAGTTGAATTAATGGTTCCAACTAAAACATTGTTTATATTAGGGCTGCAACAACGAATCGATAAAAATCGACTTTTAAAAGCGTTGGCAACGAATTTCATCATTGATTAGTTGTGTCGTGCGATTAATGCGTCATCCGCCGCCGTCGTCATTGCCGTGGGGCTCCTCCCCCATCCCAACCCCGCTCCCGCAGGAGTCCCTCTCAGCGCTGCAGTCAGAGGATGTTTACCCTCAGTGTCCAGACTGCAAATGAAGCGCGCATGCACCGGGATTGACGTCGCAAATTGATCACAATAATTAAAATAGCCTACGCTTTGTACAGTGAAAAAAGTCGTAACATGCAACTTTTGTAAAAACAAATGAACATGGCACGGAAGCGCCACTCTTATAACGCAGCACCTGAAAAGGAAACACGTTGGAGCCTTCGATGGCAGTGAAGAGAGCTGATCAGCAGGGTGAGCGACCATGTTTGTTTCGTTTTAAAGTGGGGAAACGTAACGTTAGTTTCTCAGGTAGCTCATCTGATGCTTTCCTTACCGTGTTAGTAGGTTACAGACAGTAATAAGGTTGGCTACTTATTTTACTTTTAATTTCATTTGAATTAGCTTAAGCAGCGTTTATATTTACTTTATAAATAAATTAACTTGCAAATTATGAGGGCAAGGCTTTTAAAGTTTAAATCTTCTGGCAAAGATAAAGTAAAGAAGATCCTGCAATTTCTGGAAGTAAAGCAGAATAAAATCCAGCAAGATCAGTAATATGTCAATTAATTATATTTGCCACATTCCCATGTAAATATCTGTCTTTGGAGGATGGGTTTTTTAGCACCCCTAGTTCTCTCATTTTTATTCCAAATACAATTTATAATTTGAATCACAGGGCTATTTTTATCTCTATGGTTCAGTATTTTCTCAAGTAGCAACTTTAACTGCTATACTTTCCTGTCTTAAAAGGCAGAACTCTTCTAGTCTAAAAAAAACTAATTTGTTGAAATGGGGGGGCCTATTGTTTGAACCCCTGAGGGGCTTTTAAAAACAAAAATGTATTTTTTTGCGCTTTATGAAACAAAGTAGCCTATATTTTGTGGATGTACAGCTACATTTCTCATGTAAGTTTGCGTAGTTTTAACACAAACATTTATTTTTCATACTGCACCAGTACAGTTAATGAGCAACCTGTACTTGTGTGATTGTTTGTTCTGTCTAAAATGTTTATTTTGGAATAAAGAGGTTAGTATAAAAAATATTTTTTGTCCGATTCATCGATTAATCGAAAAAATAATCGGCCGATTCATCGATTTTTAAAATAATCGTTAGTTGCAGCCCTAGTTTATATGTCTTACCTTTGAACAAATATCAAAGGTTTGCATCTAAATCTGATCATTATGAAGCTGTTCTTCATTTATTTCAGTATGAATTTTTCCAGGCAGAAATGCTTCTAAAACCCTTAGAGCTCAGAAAGTTGACCACATTTAGTTTGTTTTTAGTTCATTAGCAAAAAATGATGTTTGGATAAAATCAAACTATAAGTAAAAATTCAGACCTCAATTACAGTGTTGCTTTATTTTGTATCAAAATCAATGTTTTTACTGCAGTTTTTACTCAAAGGCTTTAATATTTCTTCACCCCCAACACGTTTGTTTCAAATGTTTTTTTTTTTTTTTGTGATATTTTATGTAGTCTAATCAGTTTAAATGATTTTCTTTCAGGAAACTCCATTCCTATCATTATTGGGGTTGTTGCTGCAGTTCTGGCTCTGGTTGCCATCATTGCTGGAATCGTCTGGTGGAAGAAGAGAGATAACGGTGAGAAACCAAAGATATTCTATGTATCATAAAACCTGCTCACATAGTATTTGTTTATATTTCAGCTATATTTAGCATTTGGTGCTTCTAAGTAAACATTACATTTTAAGATTTAATGCTTTTAATTCATTTAAATGCAAATATTTTATTGTTTTCTTTTATAAAAACTATAAATAAATGTTATGCTGTTGGTTTCAGGATTCAAGCCAGCAAACAGTGAGTATTATAAATATTTTCATCTTGCTTTGTCTCATAACATTATGTTGCTGATGTAACTATTTTAAAGCCAAATAGAACAAATTAACATTTTATTTTATTTTTGTAGCTTCTGACACGTCATCCGCCTCTTCAGATGAATCAAATCCCATGAAAGTAAGTTAATTATAATAAAATATTCTTAGAGTTTATTACCTTTAGGGTCAATATTTGATTCAATTTTACACTGGATTTCAGAAGTTTATTTAAAAAAACCTAATTAATAAACAATAATCTGACTATTTATCAACTTTTTAAACAGATGAACAGCGAAGAGCAGAAGATGATGAAGACAATCAGCTGAATTCAGAATGAAAAAACAGGCTGAGAAAAAGTCTGTATATCTCAACATCAAAAAAATGTAAATAACTAAGAATTAATCTCTTAATGTTTGAAACTTTTCTTTTGAGACTTTTCTGTTTTTGCAATCCTGCTTTAGTGCTTTTATTTGGGATTTGGTTTTATGGGTTAATTAAACACAACAGATTTAAAAAGCCAGAGTCAGATTCACATTTGTCAATAACATCAGACTTCTATCAAATAATTTACATTTATTATTCACTAATTCAGTTAAGTAAAATTTTAATCACTGTTGTCTTTTTGTTTGTTGATCTTGATCTCAGTCAAATCGTTGGACAGAAATTTTCTTTCAGGAAAACTTTTTTTCTTATAACTGTTCCTTCTAAGTGGTGTTTTCCTCAGTTCTTTAAATATTTTTGTTGATAAAGTTTGTTTATCAATAATATTTTACTCATGAGATTGTTTAAGATTTGTTTTCATGAAATTGTATAAGTGTGGGGTCTTTAAGTCAATAAAGTGATTTTTTTTTTTAGCTCCAAAGGTTTTTAAAAACAACATCTTTGTGTTTAGTTAGTTTTCCCCCATTTTATTTGAAGACTTGCATATACACTATATTGCCAAAAGTATTTGCTCACCCATCCAAATTATTGGAATCAGGTGTTCCAATCACTTCCATGGCCACAGGTGTATAAATTCAAGCACCTAGGCATGCAGACTGTTTTTACAAACATTTGTGAAAGAATGGGTCGCTCTCAGGAGCTCAGTGAATTCCAGCGTGGAACTGTGATAGGATGCCACCTGTGCAACAAATCCAGTCGTGAAATTTCCTCGCTCCTAAATATTCCACAGTCAACTGTCAGCTGTATTATAAGAAAATGGAAGTGTTTGGGAACGACAGCAACTCAGCCACGAAGTAGTAGGCCACGTAAACTGACGGAGCGGGGTCAGCGGATGCTGACGCGCATAGTGCGAAGAGGTCGCCAACTTTCTGCAGAGTCAATCACTACAGACCTCCAAACTTCATGTGGCCTTCAGATTAGCTCAAGAACAGTGCGCAGAGAGCTTCATGGAATGGGTTTCCATGGTCGAGCAGCTACATCCAAGCCATACATCACCAAGTGCAATGCAAAGCGTCGGATGCGGTGGTGTAAAGCACGCCGCCACTGGACTCTAGAGCAGTGGAGACGCGTTCTCTGGAGTGACGAATCGCGCTTCTCCATCTGGCAATCTGATGGACGGGTCTGGGTTTGGCGGTTGCCAGGAGAACGGTACTTGTCTGACTGCATTGTGCCAAGTGTAAAGTTTGGTGGAGGGGGGATTATGGTGTGGGGTTGTTTTTCAGGAGCTGGGCTTGGCCCCTTAGTTCCAGTGAAAGGAACTCTGAATGCTTCAGCATACCAAGACATTTTGGACAATTCCATGCTCCCAACTTTGTGGGAACAGTTTGGAGCTGGCCCCTTCCTCTTCCAACATGACTGTGCACCAGTGCACAAAGCAAGGTCCATAAAGACATGGATGACAGAGTCTGGTGTGGATGAACTTGACTGGCCTGCACAGAGTCCTGACCTCAACCCGATAGAACACCTTTGGGATGAATTAGAGCGGAGACTGAGAGCCAGGCCTTCTCGTCCAACATCAGTGTGCGACCTCACAAATGCGCTTCTGGAAGAATGGTCAAAAATTCCCATAAACACACTCCTAAACCTTGTGGACAGCCTTCCCAGAAGAGTTGAAGCTGTTCTAGCTGCAAAGGGTGGACCGACGTCATATTGAACCCTATGGATTAGGAACGGGATGTCACTTAAGCTCATATGTGAGTCAAGGCAGGTGAGCAAATACTTTTGGCAATATAGTGTATTTTTCAAAAAGTGAAAGAGATTTCTTTTTTCTCTCGTAACACTTTATTTGTATTTTTTACCCATTTGTTATTGGGATACATTTAATTTAGTTTTAAACACGAGAAAAAGGATATTTATAAAATCTTCAGTCAACAAATTGAAGTTTCCTCTGATTCGTGGAAGATTTTGTGAAACTCCACCAGCAGCCCTCTACCACAGTCTAATTATAGCAGAACATTTAGCTGGTAATTTGTGCTTCAAAGCGGTTTGTAAACAGCTATTATTAAAAGATTGTCAAATGAAATACGTTGCTAATATTGTGTTTTAAGCAGCGATGCCAGATTAGTTTGAGAGGAGCCATGAGGCTGTTGCATAACTTTGCCCTTAATTTACTGCCAGATTCACATACTGAATTTTATCACTCTGAAGTTGGTGCAAACTTAAAAATAGGAGTTTAGTCCAGAACCCCCTTTTCTCTTATTCCTTAAATCCCTAAAGCACAGAGCAGCAGTGGTGCTGGAGAAAAAAGTTTCAAATAGCATTTGTGCATCTGCAAGAACCGGTGAGGCTCAGAGCTTTAAAGGCTGCATTCAAGAAAACAATTCATTCAATGCAGTTATATCAACAATTTCTGTTTTTTTCGTTTGAAATTTTTTCGTTTTAAATTCAGATGCAAATAATTGGCTTGTATGTAACCAACATAACCAAGTCAGACAATTTTTGGTTTTGATTTAATTAACTGGTTTGATTTCAGGTTTTTAAAATGACTAAAAAATGTTTAACTGTTTTAAATAATGCAGACATAAAATATTTAATTTTATTAAAACCAAGCACATGGATTTGTTTCACTCACATTAATGAGGTTATAGCGGTCGATTTTCTATATTATTTTCAAATCTTGTAAAGAGCAAAATTGACAAATTGACTGGCAGAGAAGAACAAACTGGAGATACGATGTTTAGGAGAAACAAACAAATAAATTAAGTAAATATGTTTATAAGCTCTCTATATATGAAAAACAAAAAAGTAATCAACACTCTTACCCTTCAAATCTAACTACCATGAACTGTGACAAAGGTTTTAAGATTTGAGAACACCCTAACGTGATTGTAGTTATTTCTCTACCGAAAAACACTAAACATGTTTAACAACTAGTATAAAGAGAGTTTGAATATAAAACAGTAATATGCCACAGGAGAGATGTAAACAAGTGAAATATAAAAGCCATAAACTTTGTGGTAAAACCAGATACAAAGTTGATGTCAGCTACAAATTCATTTAAACTGGATTTATTGAAATCCTTTTAAATTAACAACTTTCTGGTCATAAACTTGATATGTTTTTATTCTATATTCTCATTCTATTCTCATAGATCAGATGCCTTCAAACTTTCCTTTGTGTGAACACTCAGCGAAGGTTTGGGTGTGGCCACCTTGTTTAAAGATTTACTGAAGTCTAAATGAGGTTTTTCATTTCAAATTTGACTCTAGAATATTTGACTCTCCAGGTAAATGAAATATTAACATCCTAAGTATCCTAAGTTGGGTTTAAAGCGATATGTGTTAAATATGACTGCTTTGTTATTGCTGGATATTTCAGCATTCACATTGACAGTCCTGATGACAGAAGAGCAGAAGAACTCTGTCTTAGAAACTCTGGTTTAATTCAACATGTTATACTCCAAATGTACAAACAGGGACAAGACTAAACATTTCCAAGGTGTCTGTTACAGAAGCTGACTTATCTGACCATTTTTCGGTTATCTTTGAGAGCATGACATTCAATGATTCAGCTAGTTAAAGAGACATCCCAAGAAAATGCATCTTTAAGGATGGCACTGCTGCAAGTTAAGGAACAAACAAAAAGTCCCTCTGAGACTGAGGTCAGGCCGTTCCTATGTCCCTCATTGAAATAAAAGGAACAACTGAGATCAACTAGTACTGTGTGTTGACTTTATTAAAGTAAAAAAAAAAACAGCCTAGAATTGCATTCAACAAATAACTTGACAAACATTAATAGCGGTAAAAAGAAAAAAAAAAAGAATACAGCAGCCTACTCACTCACCTGCTGGGACATCCTAACAGGTCAGTAATATGGAGATTACAAATCACTGCCCACATCCAGCTGACGCTTACATCCACAAATTCTAACAAACTACAAGAGCTCTAAACTGAGACAAATAAACATCAGTTTAATTCAGTTTACTTTCTGTTATGGCTCCTAATGATTCTAATTCTAAAACCTCAGACAATATTGATTCAATTTCTCCAGTAAAAATATTTTTTTTGTGGGAAAAATTATCTCTAGAGAAGTGCTCCACCAGTCAGAAGTGAAAAGCAGTCTGAGGTCTGGAGTGCTGAAAATCTGAACACAGATGTCAAAAGTCTAGACTCCAGGTTCATTATAACATCTATAAAAATACATTTTAAAGATATAATTTACAACTGAAAAATGCAAGAGAATCTTTCTTTACTGGGATCATCAGAAAAAACCTTAACAATCCACAATTTTCCATAGTGAAGAGGCTAACAAAGCCTGCTGTGACTGTAGCATCTGAACTACACTGAAACAAAATCCCAAAAGATTAGAGGGGCAGTCTGCACATCCATAACAATTTGTCCTCATTTTTCATTCCAGACTGAAATAAAATTAATACCACATATAAACATCCTAAAGGTCAGTTTGTGGGTCCAAGGCATTCAAGTTCTGGGTTACTGGGTTTAAAATTCCTTTTCCAGGTATTCTTCAGCCGTTAAAAGATCACACTAAACAGTGTTTTAGTGCTCCTCTATTTATTTTTTTGTTTGTTTGTTTTTTCTTTTTTTTACAATTTCTGGTCTGAAACTTTGATTCAAACTGTTTGTTTTTCAGCAATTTCGTTCTTTTGTTGAGAAAGATTTTTCATCAGGTTTTATCACAACTGTAAAACCTCAAATATGTATTTAAGCTTTGTGGAGGAACTCAAATCCAGTGAGGAAATTAGGCCAAAACATATGACATGATTTGGTATATGATTTGGGGCGACAGTGGTGTTGGATGTAGGAGTTTGCCCTAAAATCGAAGGGTTGACGGTTCAAGCCCCGGCTCAGACTTTCAGTGTCGTTGTGTCCTTGGGCAAGACACTTCACCTGCATTGTCTACTGATGGTGGTCAGAGGGCCCGGTGG